TATGTTACTGTCACATAGAAATAATGCAATAGTTTTCTTAACAACCCAGAAGTGCTGTGAAAGAGCAGTTATTAAAATGCCTGCTTTGTAAAAGAACTAGTCAAGACAGCTTGTGTTCAAGAATTTTGAAAGAACTATTTAAGGAACCTTGAAAGACATCCATGTTGAAATTATGCAGTAAGTGTCAGGATGCTGAGGAAAATCTGGGGAACTGGAAGAAAGTTAATGCTGCTCTAGTCTTTAAATGGGGTAAATGGAACATGCTGGATAACTGTACTTAATTACGTTTGCCCTACTCCTACAAATAAGACTGCTTGGTAATACGAAGATAGCTGTCTTAGCATCAGTGAGTAAAAATAACAGAGTATTTGACATCAGATCAGAGAACTAGAAAAGGGTTTATAATCACTTGTTAATCTAAAGGGCTCATATGAAAAGACTTCTTATTGCAGTGTCATTTTTTAAATGAGTTTACCAGTCTGACAAAAGTCATAGTGTGGACATTTCACCTTTCTGTTCTTCAACTGATAACTCTACATATGTACTTTAGTGAGTTCCTGGTACAAATCATTATGTTCCATGTGGGTTTAAAATTGAAAGTATAAATAGGAATCATTGTGGGAATTGTTGTCAATTAGCTCTGCCTATAAGTTTCCTGTAAGAGTAAATTCTGGTTATGTTCTATTTAGCAGTTTAGCAGTAAGTCAGAAGACAATATTAAAACTGTACTGATCTGCTGATAACTTAAGGAAGGAAAAAATAAGGCAGAGATCAACTCATCAATGCGATAAAAATTAGGTATCTCAAAGGGAAATACTACATATGTTGAAGGTAGGAATACCTGTTCTGGAATGGAATATGACACAGAGAGACTTGATGTCAAGGTGAGTGATTGATTAAAATAATTTTTTTTGGCCAAAATTACTGAGATTGTTGCATGGATGAACAGGGATGAGGAGGGAGCAGAATAGTCATTCTGCATAGCATGACATTAGTGTGCACTGATGTTTGCCTTTCTGCCTTTTTCCCTGAAAAACTGGAGAGGGTTCTAGGAAGATCCTGAAATATCACCTTCTATAATAAGCTTTGGCAAAACTGAATTTGGTTGTGTTGTTCCCCTTTCGACCATTACCTGCAATCTATCTAGACAGAGTACAATAAGAGTGATGAAATAAGCAAGGGACATGGAGATGAACCAACTGATGAGCAAAGAATGAAAAGGTCTAATAGTGAGCAGCAGGAGATCACAGTGACATTTTCAAGGTGAAAGATTAGTAACTTAAAGCTGTAAATACTCATGAAGGAGAGAGATTATTTGTTGAGCTGAAAGTGGAAGGTTTAGGAGCCATTGAAAAATACTTGGATAGGTAGGAGACAAAGAGTCTTCTGCTCAGTCTGACTTCCTGACAGTCAGACATATTACCCTGTACATTAGTTTATCTTTCTCAGAGAAGCAGTGAGAAATATTGAGTTGCTATTTTGATATCAGATGGGGAAAACCACTAGAAAATGCTCTAAAGGAAATCCCTACTTTGTCAGGAAGATGTCTTGGCTGACCTGGAATTGATTTCCCATCATGAGTTCTGTAAGTATTTTCTGCAATTTTCTTCTCTTCTACAAAGTAACATCAGGATTCAGGAAACAAATCAGCTCTCCAGATATCTTTTTTCCCTGCAAGATAGTGAAAGGAATGGAATTGCATTCTCAGTGCTGGAGGCTTCTGATTTTACTGTGTTTGTACTTTTTACAGAAAAAGAGATGGATTTGTGCTGTGTTATAAGATCCCATATTTTTTCTGTGACAGTTGAATATGTTACACTCACTGTTTCTTCCTGATCATTTTATGTTCCTTGATGGCAGACTTAGCGTAAAATCATGAATCTCCTTCCTTTCCTTCTTATGGTTTTTTTTCCACTTAAATAATTGACTTTTGCTGATCAATATAGAGAAATCATGAACTTGAAAAGCAATAGTCCTTATTATTTGTTTAAAGTTGAATTTCATGTCAAACAAAAATTACATATAAATGTGTGAAAGGATTATCAGAAGCACCTCTGCAGGCCCCAGTTTCTTTTAGAGACTATCTGCACTAGATTTTTAGTTCAATCAAAGAGGTTCAATGAGTGAGAGAGAAAAATAACAGAGATATATAGTAAGAGTGTAGCCTGGACTGGAGTGCTGTGAGTCCTCTTCTACTCCACCATAGCCAGAAATTCTTTGTGATGAGGAAATAAATGAATGGGTGCATGTTTTTGTGGGTGAATATGAACAAATTCATTGCCTAACACTGAGTCTAGGCCTTCTGTTCAAGTATATTTCACCTGTCAGTGAACTCAGCTGTAGTGACTGCCTTTCCTTCCTCTCATATGCCCAGTTTCTTAAGTGGCATCTTCCCAGAGTGATGAGAGTTGTTACATGCATTACAATGAACACTTTTTTGCTTCTTGTCAAAATTAAATAGGATGCTTTTGTTGGTTTTTTTTACCTTGTTTGTCTCAGCCATCACCAATGGCAATGGAAATTTTTTCCACACTAAAGGAGTAAATTCGTGTTCCAAGTAACTTAAGGCTCTGTTCATGGCAATCTGCCACTGCACCTTGAGCTTGCTAATGAGAAATAAGAGAAACATCCAGAAGGTGTTTGTAGTGGATGTGCAAGTCAAATATATTGATTAAGTTTTAGATTTATCAGAGGGAATGTCTCTAGCAGAACTTCTGCTATGAATGTACTATGTTTTGTGGGTCCCACGATATTCAGGCTATTTCCAAAACACACAAGCAGCTTGGAGTGTGTGAGTGGGTGGAATAGACTTTACAGAAAGCCCTGAGGGAAGTAAATACTGAAGCTGCAGTAGTGCTTAACAAAGGTTAGGAGATACAGAACTGAGCAACATCTCAACAGGCAGAGAATGTAAGTTGGGAGGAGCAGATTCCAGTTGTCAAGTTCTTCTCTTTTCTGCAGCAGAATTTCTTTTAATATGGTGAAATAGATTTATTGGCAAGATATGGTTAATTATTAGCATGGATTATTCATAAGGCAACCCTTTCGTAAGGCTGGCCCATTCTTTTTGAGGATTTCATTATGTGCAATGCAGAATTAACTTTTCCAACAATTATGTCCCTACATATTTGAAAATAGGGTCAGGGGAAAATGTAGCATTTGGCAATGGGTCTGTGGAGACCCCTAGTCTGTCATCAGTATAGCACGTGTCTGCTCTGGCAAGATGCCATTCTGTTCAAAAGTTACCCTTCCCTGGAACCCCTTGAATGACTGTCTTTAATAATATAATAGAAGGTGGAAGGATAGAGCATTTTCATGCATGAAATATTTCACAGCATTTTATTCACTGTGCGACGCAAGTTATCATATGTATTAAACTGAAAATTGTTATAGCAGTGTAAAATCAGACCAGATATTACTGAAAAATGAAACACAGTAGTAAGTGAAAAAGTTGAACACACGTTGAAGTTTGGGGGGGCTTTGCTTTTTATAGATCCTGGTGCATGTTTTCATAATATTAAATAATATTACTCTTCAGATTAGTTCTGTTGAGAATATCTCAGCTGTTAACTGTGGTATATCTATACATCTTTGTATATCAACTGCAATTCATGTGATTAGGATTCCTGTCCTCTGTCATGATCTGCCATTTTTATATTGCTGAGCTCATAACCCATGTGGTCAAAGTTTGAGAGACTTCAGACATCTCACTGTCTGAACATCTTTTGAAAACAAATGTTTATTTTAGCCAACTTGTCCATGATTTCTACAAAAGACTGGAAACTATCTTAAATACAGACTACTGCATGCTTAGTTTGGGACTTTTGTATTTTCACATACACAGGTTAAATAAATAAAATAACCATTGTTGGTATGAGTTGTTCCAAAGAGAAGTCTGAAGGTACTAAATATTTCATTGACAGAAATACTACAATGGGTAGTAATTCTGAATTGTTTTACTTTTAATAACAAAGATGATTCAGAAGTATGCCTTCATTTAAAACTAGCTAATCTTACCATGTTGGATCTACTCTTCACATTGGTGGAGAATAATTTCTATGCTGTTTTATATCTTCTGAGGTTTTGGTCTTTTTCTCCAGCACAACCAAACTTTACATCAGGACTCTACATTTTACATGAATAAAAATGCACAAATGTGTGTAAATTGGTGCTATAATTGTGATCAAATATCAGTTATTAATGGAGGTTTTTATAGATCCATGACAAAGGAATCCCAGAGACAGAGCAGCACAGGGGGATTAATACAAAGGGTATTGGAGAGAGTACATATTACTATATATCAGATAGAGGATTATTGATTCCTTTGGAAAACCCAGCCCTCATGCCTGGCAGTAAGAAAGGAAACTGTTTCCTGGTTGTGTGTAGTGATGGAAAGTTTCATTAGTGTTAGTTTCAGATGGAGTGTTCTTGTGTGGTGAAGATGAGAGCTCTTAAGCACATCCTCCCAAAAGATTGCTGATAAATCCATGTCATGTATTGTATGTTTTACAGTTTAGCTCTTTTTCTGATCATAGAATCATGGAATGGTTTGGGTCAGAAGAGGCCTTTAAAGTTTATCTGTCCAACCACCCTGTCATAGGCAAGGATATCTTTTTCACTAGATCAGGTTGCTCAAAGCCCTGTCCAGCCTGAACACTTTAGGGGTGTAATTGTTGGCTGGCAGGTAGATGTACTGTTACTGCAACATGGGCAGTACTGGAATGTACAGTGGCTAGAGGTTATATACTGGTAAAGATGGGAGTGTGTAAGAACCATAAAGAACGTATTACTAAGTGAAATATTTTGTTGTAGTTATGTTTCTGGGAAGTGGTGGGGCTATCGTGAAACATCATCAGGACAGTACTGCACCAAGAACTGCAATGAGGGTGAGAGTAATATAACAGAGATTTGTTAAATATGTGCTCATTCTTAACAATATGGGAGCATAGTTTTGTACAGAAACATCAAAGGCATCCTCTTTTCTTTTTATTTTGTTACAGCTGTTGTCTCCTGTTCTGGATCACAAGAAGAAAACTCTTCTTCACCAAATCCACCTCAGAAGCTCTCCCTGATAAAAAATAGGATGGTTTCATTGCATCAGCCTGCTAAACCAGGTACCACAAGTCCTCTTCCCTCCATCTTCCTTATTTCTCCTTCAGAGTCTAGATGTAAGATAGATGCCAGCAATCACAAACACCCTTTACCAGAAAGCTGTGACACTTTATTTCTGACTGGAAATGGAACAATGACTCAGAAAGGCCAGAGTAAACTTAAGGGAATCCCTTACTTCCGTATTAAACAAACCCAAACAAAACAAAGCAAGCAAACAAAACCACAAAAAACCTGTTCAACACCCCCAAAAAATAAAAACAAACAAACCAACCATCCCCAACACAGTAGGAAAAGAAAAAGAAAAAAGGAAAGGAAAGAAAAATAAAATATTTTCCATTCAGCACACTGAAATTCACCAGATTTAGGATTGGGAATTCTTAAAATAAAAGCCAATTAGTGGAGCTGCTTTCCCACAACTGTAGAACAAATTGCCTTTCTTGAAACTAAATGAAATTTTATTTTCAACTGGAATTTTCTTTATCTAGGCATTGTAAAAGCACAGTGAGCTGTGCTTTTTAAATTTGTGTCTGTTTCCTCTTGTCCTGTTAGTAGATGCTACTGAGAATTTCCTGGCTTCCTCTTCATTCCCTCTCATCAATGTGTTTGTACACAGTCATAAAATCCCCCTGATCCTTCTCTTCTACGTACTTGAACAGTCCCAGCTCTGTCAGCCTCTCCTCTAATGAAAGATGCTTCAGTCTTCTTTTTGGACCTGTGCTGGACTTGTTCCTGTAAGTCTGTATCTTTCTTGTACTAAGGAACCCAGAGCTTGAGCACAATACTCCAGATGTGGTATCACCAGTGCTGAGCAGAGAGGAAGAATCATCTCTTCATCTACTGGCAATGTTCTTTCTAATGCAGCCCAGAAAGCTGTTGGTTGCCTTTGTTCTAAGGGTGCATTGTTTACTCATGGAGAGCTTGTCCACCACATCACCCAAAGTCCTTCTCTTCAGAGCTGCTTTCCAGCCAGTCAGGCCCTGGTGCAGGGGGTTATACCTTCCGAGATGCAGCAGGAGTTGGCTTTTTCTTCAAGAGGTTCCTATTGTCCCAACCCTCAGCCTGTCTGGATTGCTCTGAATGGCAGCACAGCCATATGGTGTGTCAGCATCTCCACCACGTTTTGTAACCTCTGTGAACTTGCTGAGGGTCCACTCTGCCCCCTTGCTCAGGTCGTTAATGAAGATGCTAAACAATAAAGAAAGGTCTGTGGTGCTAGAAAAGTCATACATTCCTCCCAGGAGGTGGCTAGGTGACCTAGCCTTGCCTGGCTAGGCAATGTTGCTTGCAGTCCCATCTTGCGAATGGTATCTAATTCTTTAAAGTCCTTGGTGACATACCATGGACTGCCAGTGAGCTTTCTTCAATCTAAACTTCTTCAGAGCAGTTTTGTAATGTCTTAAGATATGCCCTTTGCTGATTGTAGTAATATAGATATATTTCTCTATTATACTTAGTTTTACCTTTTCATTTCTGTCATATTATTCCTTTTTGCTGACTTGGACTTGTTCTCCAAGTGCATAGGTGCTAAGAGAAGCTGGATATGAAACATCTGTAAGGTAGTACACAGCCGTGTCAGAGGTTTCAGCTTCCACTTTCACTGTGACCATGAATGTATCCAGCTCTTTAGCTCTGTGATTTATGTTAAACAACAGCTTCTTGTTGATCGGTCTTTCCACCACCATGCAACAACAGAAAAAACAATATTTTTTTTTACTGGATGTAAAAAACTTTCCTGATCTGTTTCAGACTCTTCCAGGTATTCAGATCCTCTCCACCCTCAGCTTGTGGCAGATAGGCTTTGTAAAGCCTAGACAGTATGTGAAGTAGGTGCTTTTTAAGAGGAAAGCTGTATTCACCTTCTGTCTGAGCTGTCAGCTGCTTTGTTATGTGAGGCATGCTCAAAGGATTAAGTCTGTATTGGTACAGTCCTTGCTACTGCAAGTGGAGGTATGGGTAACATTTGATGAAATTATTTTGTCATAAATAATAGTTTCAGTTCAAGTAACTGTCTATTAAAAAAATAGGAGGAATTTTTTCTTTCCTGAGCTTTCCCTTTGGTCTCTTCCACTGTCTTGCTGTTGTGAGAGAAATTGCTTTCTGGGTTTTATGATCAACTAGAAAATTATCTGATAAAAATATTACTTGTACTGACAAGGAGACTGTGGATACTAAGTTAACCTGACAAACTTCAATAAATTTGTAACAGCACAGCAGGTGTGGATCAGGACTCTGCTTTGTCTCACACAGCAATGGAGTTTCTGAGCTATTCAGATCCTTAAAGCTGTTTTAACTGGATCATCAAACCATAGCCTGAAGCTGTGCACAGACATTTTTCCCTAAATCCAGCAGAGCCAGGAGAGTGGTTCATACCTTCCTTCTTGTGCCCTGCTGTAATCTGGCATTTCGTACACAGACACACACATGCACAATTTGTGAGTTCATCTGCTTGTGGCTTCTATTTAAAAATGATAGGCTGAACACTGCAGCAGGCCTTTGCTAAGCTGTGTGCACTGGATAAATTGGGCTAAGAAGATATTTGGATGGTTCACCCAGGATTGAGAAAGGCAGCAACCTCCAGTTCTAACAGGCCAGAAAGGGTTAGAGAGTGTCCAAAGTAATTGTGGAGGAAGACGAGGAGCAATTCTGTAACATCCATGTTTCTCTTACCCATGTACACTGGGTGGTGTTTTGTAAAAACAAAGTTAGAATTAACTTCAATAATTACGAGAAAACTTGTCTCTTTTGAAGTTGCACTCAAAAGATGTTTCTGTTTCCTCTTTTTTTCTGGAAGTTTAGGTGAAGTATAGGAAATCTTGTGGAGGCTCTTATGTTTTTTATTCCTGCCCCACCTGTGTCACCTGTACAACCACATGTCCTTGTTATATCCCTGACCTTAACTCTGCTCTTCATACCTGCCTGTTCTCTTCTTCATTCATGTTCACAAGGTCTGAATACCCTCAGAACATCAGGATCCTAAATATGAATGTTTAGTCTTTTGCTATTTCTTATATGGCCTGGGGATGCTCCAGTTATTACTGTAATATTATTATTACTACTGAAAATAAATATCACGAAAGTTAATATCAGCTCACCATATCTATTCAGCTCCACTCTGTGTGTGGGAGAGCTTTGTGCAGCTAACATCCCTTCAGGGAGTTTATATTAGATTGATGAGAGAACTGAGAATTACTTTTTGTCTGGCTTATAACATGCTGATTAAGAAAAATTCTGGCCAGGATGATCTAGTGTTTTCAGTACTGCAAACAGACTCTGGAGTTTGTTAAGAGGGTGTTCTTATCCATCCTTCTGGAGGAAAGCAAGACTGTTTTTAAAAGATAAAAATAAAAGATTATGTGAAGCTTGTGTTGCTCAGCTCTTCTGCTTGAGACCCTGTCAAGCTCTTTGTTGCTGAGAGAGGGTTGACCTTAGACTATCAGTTCTTTCTCTCTGCCAAAATACTAAATCCATACAGTTTCAATATCCTTGTTGCACTAGATATTATTCTCGTTCAGGATTTTGTGTACTTCTGATCTAGACCTTCCACTGATATAAATTCACTGTTGGTACCAGTGGGAGGATGTTGACTTACACCTGTGAAGAATTTGCAGATTAGTTTTTCATTCTGGCATGTTCTTTGACCTGTTGTGGGAGAGATTCTGTTGTTATTGCCCAAGACAAACTTTCTTTTTTCCCTTCAGCTCTTCCCTTTCTTGGGAGATATAGCCCCCATACACTCTACACCTGTTCATTCATGTGTCTGTGTTACCCTTGCCCCTTGAGCTGTGGTAAAGCTTCAGTGAAACCTTTGGTTTCTCATAACAGAAATCTCTTGTATCATCGGCTCAAGCTGTTCATGGGTGACGTCTACAGACAGTTTTGGAAAACCAGACTGGGTGTTATCGTCCATCGGTGTCCTGGTGTCTCAGGAGAGGCAGCAGCTGCTTCTGGAAAACAGTTCCTCCTGTGGAGATATTGAAGGTAGGCAGTGTTACAGCTCCTCTTGAATGGATATCTGCTTTCTCCCAGCTCTGGTTGCAGCTGTGGGTGGCAGCAGCAGGAGTCAGCAGGCTGAGACCTCAGGTCAATGTGACTAAAAATACCACCATATGCTGGTTATGATGCAGTACTCCTAGAGGTGCTGTCAGTGCTCAAGAGTCAAAAAAAGCCATGTAATGCATGTATGCTGCCTAAATTTGTGTGTATGTATATACCCTTTAAACAGGTAGCCCCATTATATACTCATTTTGTATCTCCACATTTTGGGATAAGTTACTTTTTCTTACAGTGACTGAATTTTTCTTAGGAAACTCAACCCTTCATAAACCAGAGCTGGCTCCACATGTCCGCTGTCTGACTTGCAAAGTCTTTGGCTTTTGTTTTGTTGGACATGTCTTCACTTTGCTTTGTTTGGTTTCTTCTCTTCTCATTTTTTCTATCACTTCTTTACCTAAACCCCCTATTTTTGCTTTATTCTCCTTTCTCTCTTATTTTTTAGGGTTTTGTGCATAGTCCTGTCTTTTATCCTCATGATTCCTTTCTTCAAACTCCTTATCCATTTTCCTCCTATTATCGCTCTTCCATCCACACTGCGTGTCTCTTGTTTTGTTTTGTTTTTCTCTCCTCACAGGGGACATTTTCCTTCTGAACACCAGTAGGCTCCCAGATAGATGTGAGTTCAGCCTGCACAGCCCCATCCTGCTCGGGAGTTTGGACTCCTGCTTGCTGGAACTGGCCGTATGTTCACAGGATGCTGTTCCTCTCCTTCAGAGGTTCACAGTTGACATCAGATATGTGGAGACAAACAAAAATACAGCGATTTCTCTGAGAGTTGGCCATGAGGAGAATGCTGGGTAAGATAATCAGTTTTCAACTGTTACTCCTTTGAATTGCAAGGTAGAGTGGAGTTCCTCCAGGCTGCTGTTTATTGGTGTCTTCTCCCTTCTTGAGATCACTGCTGCTATTACAGAAGAAAATGAAGGTAGAACTCTCAGGACAGAAGCACACAGCTTCCTGACAGAATGTCCACAACAGACCCAGATTTTGTGTCCTCTTTGCAAAGAACACACTAGCATAGGTCTTACTCTTCTTCCCTCTCATTTAGAAGGGTGAAGCGTGGTTAATGCTCTCATTGATGCCAGAACTACAGATGTAAAATGAGTTTAGTCCAAAGACTGACTTGGTAACATGACTGATATCTCTAAGGATTCAGTGGGTCCAATCATTGTTACAATGGTCACAGCTCTCATGTTGAGGTGGGGTTAATTTTACCTCTTTAGTAATTCCATCCTTTCTAGTAGGTTCAGAAGCATCCATTTTTGCTTCATTTGTAGAGTTCAGGGAGGGGAAAAACTGGGGCTAGAGGTAAGAAGAGGTGAAGGAAAACAAAAGAAAGTGCAGAAGCCCCAGATCTTATCCTCTATTCACTTTGATCTTGCCAATATTTTACTTTTTCATTCCTGTGTGTAACAGAATGCAGTAAGGAGGAGAAATGGGCAAAGAGAACAAATCACAACAGGAAAAGAAGGAGAAAAGTCCACGTGTCATCTAATTTTGCCATTTTCCATGTGCTTGTTTTTCCTTTGCTGCAATCCAACTTGTAAGAACCTGGGTCAGACACACAACAGAGTTTTTTATTTCCATCACCTGACTGACTCCCATGGAGAACTTAAGCATTAGATCCCAGTTCTTGTTTTCTTTGAATTCTTTGGCACTCCCCAGGCTGCCATGGAGATCTGTAGCCAAGAGTCCCAGTCAGCCAAAGATAGCAGAGTTTGACAAAAAAAAATTTTTTTTTTTTTTTTTTTCAGATCTCTCTCTCTCTCACTTTTATCTGTTGCTCAGTTCCTTCCTGGCTACTCCTTCCCCATCTTCTTGCCAATTTAAAGGGGAATCTGTTGCATTTTCTGGGATTAGTTTCTAATGTCCTTTTTTACTTACTCAAAGCTGCCTTTGCTGCTTTGAGTATTTAAGAGGCTTCTGCAACTGCAGCTGCAGCTCCATTCACCTATGTAAACTCAGAAAATACTCTTTCGCTACTCCTAGCTGGCCAGACCAGGCTTTGCTAGCATTTGCTGCAGTGTCTCTGGAATGGATCATAGACATTGTTTAGCAGCTTATTTGAGCACTGCAAAACAATTTTAAGCGAAATCAAGATTACAATCTCTCTAAAAGTGACAGTATTTAGAGTTATTAGAATGGAGTTAGCTTTACTGGAAGTTGGCAAAGACACCGGTATTACTTTTTCTTAGTGAGTGAAGTGAAACGTTGGTAAGCTCCGAAAGTTTATTCTTCAGATTTTAAACATGGAAGGTGACTGAGTCCTGTTTGAAATCAAAATACAAAGGAGGGATAGAAAAGACACAAGCGAGAGATAGGAACCACGTTAGATGGTTCCTATCCTAAAAAACCCTTCCTTTTCCCCCTCATTACAGGGAAACTCTTTAAAATCTTGATACAATTCAGAAAAAAATCTGACCATGCAGGCAGAGTAGAATTTGTTTCCAACACAGTGATTGAGCTGCTTCTTGCTAGGCAGGTAGCCTGAAGTGAACATTCTCTCCACGACTAAGATTTTAACAATATTGCTTGCTGATAAGTGAAATCACCCTGAAGTGCTGCCACTTTACAGGGTCTTTCCATACAGAGTAGGAGTTCTACAAGCTTTTCTGTGTCAGCTGAACACTGCTATGCAATTTTGAGCCCAACAAGGAGGACAACGAGCAGACAACGAGATAGATGCCCATGTGTAGTACATAGTGTAAGCATTGACAATCACTACCAAGGGATTGTCTTGAGATCAGAGCAGGAATTTAGACATTAAAAAAATGCTAGATAGCACTTTTTTTCAGATAATCATGCACTCCAGAAAGTCCTGCTTCAGTCCCTCTTGTCACCTCTCAATTCCATGATCAAGCTATACCTCATCATATACTTCAGCTGCACCAGACTCCTTCAGTGAACTATCCTCTTTCTGGACCTAGAAATCTTCTCCTGATGATGTTTTCTCCTTCAGGACCCATCAGCTACACAGTTCTCAAAAGCTTAAATATATGTGTAAGAGAAAGTTGCTGGCTGTCCTGCCCACCTCACTAACTACTAGGATTTATCATTAAATTGGTAGTATTGAAGCTGCCACTATTTTTTTCACATGCATACCTGAAAGAATAAAGAAACGGATGGCCTTTCAGCTCCATGTCCTCCGAATAAGCTGGACAAAGTCACAAAGTGACAGTATTTATTGTTATATACCACATCTGTACATTATGGGTTTTCTAAGTCATTACCATTAGATGGAGACCTGCTCAGGGAGTGAGATGTTTGAGATCCTGTGTATTTACAAAAAATATATAAAATTGTATTTCTCATTATGTGCATAAAGCTCAAACATCAAGAGCCTGTGACCTTGCTTGCAAGTCTAAGCCTTCTTTTTCTGGCACTTAGCTCATAAAGCTGTCGTCACTTTCTCAGGATTGCAGTTTTGGTGCTCATTCAGGTTACAACTAAGGTCTTTTTATTCTGAAATATAACTGGCCATGGTAGTTTCGGTAGGTCAGAAAACAAAAAGTTCACAGCCATGTGCACACATGGGTTTTCAGTTATCCAACCTCACAAAACTGTTTATTTATTAGTTTTTTGTCTTCCCCCTTTTTCTGGAGGGGTGATGGTGATAAAATGCTCCACCACCTTCTGAGACACTTGTAGAAACTTGCCATTTTTGACACTTCTCTTCTACTAGTGGGATTGTTTTTATCCACAAAAGTTATTTAACTTCTCCTGCTGTACAGATGACAAGGGAGTAGTCTGGTAGAGGTCCTCAGAAAATGCCTAATGCATACTGACAACAATGAGCACAGCCGTTTCAACCAAAAAGTGTATCTAGAAAAGGTGAGGCTGTCCAGCTGTTATGTAAGACTATGATTTTTGAACACTAATCTGGGAGTATGATTTAGTTAGTGTCCCTCATGCCTCTGTTGAACTTGCACCCAAAAATACACTGGGCCAAAGAATAACCCTCTAACCAGTTGGTGAAGGCAAGAGGGGTGGGCATGTATTCTGCTCTCTCATCTATTTTCTTTTAAATCCAGTGGTTAGAACTGGATGCTTGTGAGGACTTACAGACAACAACTTCCTTTATGTAGAAAAGTAATGTAAACCTCCTAATTTTTATGTTAACTGATTAAATCTAGAAGCATCTACAATACAGCTTTGTGCAATAACCCATGCAGTGAGTCCCCCAATTTAGAAAATGTTTCAGCTTTCATGTTCTCCTGTATTGCAATTTTCACTCTTAATGAAGAAATGGTTATTCTTTATAATAAATCTTTCCTAAAATTAATCCTCAGTCACCTTTGTTGGATATGGAAAGCCATGGCATAGAAAGGATTGGTAAGGAGAGGGAGGAAAACATTTCTTCAGCAGAGGAGATTGAGAGGCTAATGCAAACCAAAAGTTGAAATGACAAATCAAAAGTTAAAATTAGAAGTTTGGAGGGTTAATCTTAAATTCTCTTGCCTTAAGCATTAAGTGCTTTGCAACTCCAAACTTTCTATCCATGCAAATTTCTCAAAATTATGTCATGCCCCAGTAGCTCTTCTGTGTGTGCAAATCAATTTTAACATCTCTGTTTAGAAGAAGAGTAATATTACCTCATTACTTGAGATCTGGTTTGACATAAAATCAATAGTAAAATTATTGCCAAGCCTGCTGCAATGATCCATCTTCTGCTAGATCAGCAATGGGCTTCATTCCTGATTCCATTAAGAAAATTACATTGGCTCTGACTAGCCCCTGTTTCAGTAGTGGGACCAAGAAAAAGAGGTGTAATTATTTACAGCTTTAGAAATCTTGCTGCAGTTGGATCTAGGGGGTGAGGCTTTCTCTGAAGGGGAATACCCTGATGATGATGATAAGATTCGATACATGGAAGTACTGTGTGATGCAAAGCTACTTGTCATTTTTGCAGGCTCTGGATGCTTGACAGCTTTTACTATGGTGTTATAAATGGAGCAAATTCCAATACCAGAGATACTTCAGTGCAGAGCTAGGATGTTTCATGGAACCTTAGGGCTCTGACTCAGAAGAGTTGCCAATTCACAGTAGCAGTAGTTCAAGACGGTGGCCTTACTCTTCTACCAGATGCCTCAGTTCTCCCAATAGAGCTGACAGAATGGTCTGGTCTTCCTAATTCATGGTATTTCAGAGGTTGGTTTATTGACTTGGATGACTAAAAGTTTTGATTTGTTTTGATATACACAGCAAGTTCCAAAGTGTCTGGCTCATAAAACAGATAGGACTAAGGGGCAGCAGCTGAACTAGTAATTGCTTTCAGCTGTGGGGCTCTTTAGTTGCTACTACTAAATGTGAATCAGAGGCTGTGTAGTGCAGGTTCCTGTGCTCAGGGGTATGTTAATGCTGGCAATACTGTGATGTCTCAGCTGGAGGGTGGGTTGTAACTTGGTAGAGGTTATGCCTCAATGCTTGGAAAGTCTTGTATGCCTAATGGGTAAATTTAAAATATTTTAAGACTGTCTTTACCTTCAGTGGCTCATTGAATCAATTTGATAAAGGTCCATTCATTTTTGTGGCCAGTAGGATGCAATAGGGGTATGAACAAAGCCGTGCCATGTGGCAGGAGTGATTCAGTTCTGGGTCAGTGCCAGATGGTCTCAGATGTGGTTTCACAGTGTGATGGGGGGGATATACTTATAAGAGTATTTATGTGATATATGCAAAATGAAAGAACAGCAGTTGTTCTCCTTTTTTGGGGAGTAGAGGTGGTGCAGTTGTAATTCATACAATTCTGAAGCTGGGTTAAAATATATTGAACTAATTAATATATTATGGTGAATATATTATAATAATTGTTTACATTATTGTCAATTGCAGATGAGTTTTGGGTATTTGTGGATAACTATATGTGTGTACAATGGTGAAAGTGGAAGGTAGGTGGATGCCATAGAAGGGACAGTAAGAAACTCTATCCAGAAAAAGGTATATAATTGATTTACAAAGGGAATAATGCAAATTAAAATTGCTTTGGATTTTTTGCCAGTTGCAAATGAGGTGGTCTGTGATTTTCATGTTGAGTCCAGTAGAAATGTGTTTGTAGTCTGGGTGTTGCCTTCTTATGTATTTCTAGTGCAGGATGAGGGCTAAATGAGCATGCAGCTGAAGGCATTTCTCAAATGAAAAGTAATGCTAGGAGCAAAACTTGAGCAACCTATTTTAACACTTAATGCCTTCTTATCAGCCCACTGGCACTGACTTAGGTCACTTGTCCAGTAGAGCCCTGTCAACATAAGCAATGTGTGCAGTATGGGTAAATTTATCTCCCTATGGAGAAAGAAAAGAGCTTAGAGCAAGAATTCCTTTGTCACTATCCTTACTACAATCCTTTTACAAAACAGTAACATGTAGTTTTAACTGTATTTTATTGTCTTGTTAATATGAGGCACAAGAAGAGTTTTTTAAAATAAAAATGAAGTAAAAATATTTTTAATAATCCTGCTGTATTTTTTTAAATGACACCTGGATACCCTGACTTTGAATGAGGTATTTCAAAAATTCCCATTTTATATCTCTCTGTAGTTCTTGATGTCTTATAAACCATCTTTAAAATCAGAGTGCATGGCACCATCTGTCTTTCTCTGAACTGTCACAAGCGCTGTACAGTTGAGAAACTTTTGTAGTCTAGAGCCTATGGCATTTGTTCTGTAGTGAAATGTAAGTGGCCAGTGCAATCTGCATTTCTTGAACACCACTTCTCTTCTTCCTCTTGCTATATTGGGTGCATAGTGGTTTGTTAAGGTGGGAAATTAGATAGACAACACACAGGAGAAGTTTCTCACTCTTGACACAACCCAGAAACATTCAGGGCCAGACACTTCCAGAACATACAGTGTCAGTGTTGGTTTGAGGAGATCTAGAGACTTGTGCAGCTGTGTGGTTGATCTGTACTTTCAAGAGTAAATAAAACGCAACCATGTATGTGGAAAGCACATATTGGGGTGGGAGGTGTCTGAAACTGATGATAATTTTAGCACCACTTAAGAATCATTGGGAGTGGTTGGATCTTTTCATCATTAGCAATAGGTTCTGCAGCAAAGATAACCTAACATGAGCGTGTTAGGCTGAACATCACTTGTTTTATAGTAATACCCATTTGCAATGTTGGTATTTACATGCATTGACCTATTTCCCATGTGGATACTATTATTTCTCTTTGGTACAGCACAAAATCTGTATGCTGGAGACTCCATGGATTCCAGTGTTCTGCGTGTATGTCTATAGCATTTTGTTATCCTCTAGGATGAAGTGGAGATACCTGGTGGCCCAGATTGGACGAATAGAGAGACCTTTTAAAATCACGCTGCTGTATTCAAACTGTGGAGCACAGGAGGCTGGAGTACTGGCAGTGGGCTCCTTGCAACTCAGGAACTGCTTTCATGGTATGCTGCAATACAGACAGGTTTGGAATAACCAAATGCATCCTCACCAAAATGGATGACTGTGATGAGGGATAGATTACAGATAGGATTTACATGAAAGCTGAGTCTCCTGTGGGATTTTTGGGAGTGCTTACCTGTCAAAGGTCACATTTGTATGTGTATTATGTATATACTTAAATGTAAATGCACTCCAAAGGCAGGGTTGAAACTCAGAGTTCTATAACTTTACAATTTAAGTGATCCTCTCTGCTTTTCAGCTTTGCTTTGCTTGATCTTTGTATGGGAAATACAACCCTAAAACAATCAAACCCAGGGCTTATCCTGCATTCAGCAACAAGAATGAAAAAAGCCTTTACCTAGATCATTGTAGCATTTAATATTTTTACTTCCTAAATAGTCAAGAACAAAAGACTACCCTGTGTCACCAAAGCCTTTTTCATACTTGGACTTTATCTTCCAAATCTATGAAGGAAAGAAACACTGATCTGCATTCCATGAGTCTGTTCACTACTGCCAGGCTGATAATTTCTGTCTACAATAAAAATAGTTGGAATGTAATATTTTCTCCAAAGTACTAAGTGCCCATCTCAGACCTCAGTTTTACCTGGAGCTTACACTTTTGTTGTGAATGTCATGCAAATGATCCTCAATCGCTGTGCAGAACCTTGCTGGTGTCATTTAGGCTTCTTGGAAGTGCAAGAGTCTGTTGGCTCAGGCATCCTTCAGGTTGGAGACATAATCATCTTCACTTCCTGGATTTCATACATTAATATGGTGTTATTGCCTCTGCTTTGGAGACTCTGTAGAAACAGCTTGGAATGTAATGTAAAAAGAAACCCTGGTTTCACGGAGGTGTTTCATAATATATCGTGAGACTGGTTTTGATCATATTAGAGATTTAATTGTATTGCAGTCATTAATCTTTTAATTTAACTAATGCTCTATTTTTAATATATTTTTGACAGTCCTGGAGTTTTGAAGGGATGCATACAGCCTGAAGCACTCTCAGTCTGTAAATAACCTGATGCATATATCTATCACAACACAGTGTCATGAAAAAATACTATTTCAGACTGTGTACCTGAACTGCTGCAGAAGTGTTCTTTTCTCGTTCTTCTGCAATTGGTTCCCTAACTTTTGCATTTTTTCCAGAGTAGTAATAATCCCAGTGGATCTTCTGTGCAGAGCTCTGATAAAGGGCAGCAAGTCCGGAAGAGAACTACACAAACCTGCCAGTCCATAACAGACCTGTGCACAGATACATCCACAGGACAGGCTGGGTACATTAACAGTCAGGCTTTTGGGAAGTATCAGACTTAAAAATTGTGTTCAACCTGTTGATGGGTACCTGTGCAGTCAGTCAAATGCTTCCAGAGTATAACTGACCAGACTAGCTAAAGATCCATAAATAAAGTTCCTGCACAGCGAGTCAACTTGCTGGCAAAGCAGCTATCTTCCCAGGCTGGATGCCACAGCTGGAAGCCAGTACATGAGTGCTCATGCAATGAGTTAAATTAGTTACACCTCAGTATCATAGCATAGCATATAGTCTGCCAGGACTGGAGCTAAGTGAGTATCTCTGCCTCCAGCCCCAGTGTCGTGCAGCATGCCACAGCTGCCTGGCAGGTGCACAGTCATGTGTGTAGAACTGAGGAGCACATCACAGTAGGAAATTGCAAGCTTCTTCATTAAAAAAAAAAAAAATGAAAAAGGAGCAATAAATTTGGTTCTCATGAGAGCTCAGGTGATTTTTAGGAATGTCATTCTGGATAGAAACCTACATAAAAAAGCAGAGATGAGTATAACTTATCATCCAAAGGACAATTTCTGAGGTCCTACATGAGAGGTTAATACTCATGAAGGGTCATACACATTCTGTCAACTCACCTCTGGTCTTCTTTCTCTTTTATTTTCTCCCATTAGATAAAGAAAATCAAGATCTTTTTATATATGACAAAGGCTCCACCTTCCCCTGCCTTCATGGAGGCTGTGTCAGCCACCTACAGGTCTGTGAATTCATCAGTGATTGCCCTGCCAAAGAACAGAAAGGAGAGAGGTGTGGTGAGTATGTGGCATGGCACTTTGTGGGAACCTTCATCCTAAGAGAAGAAATAATTTAGAGTGAAAAATAAATTGATTTTTTCTCTAGATTAATGCATTACTTTACCTCCTGAATTAATTTGGCCCATTTACATTAATTGGATATCCATATTCTCTTTGAAATCACTCTAAATGGAATAAAGTGGATTACATTTTTTTTATTTGTTTGAGTTTTTAAATATTGCAGGAAGGCATAGTTATTGCTACTCCAGTGAAAGACAAATCTTTATTTAGATGTCTGCAGCTGGGTGAGCATTTCCTTTTGCACACAAGATCTAAACCTTTCCTTCAGTGGAAGGTGCTTATCGTCTTTCCAACATCAGCCACCAACAATGTCATAAATCTGTCCTTCCAAGATCCTAGTTCAAAGTCCTTGCACATCAGGGCAGAGAAATTCCCTGACAGTATATGTAGCTCTGAGAAGCACAGTGTAGCTTTGTTGCAAGTACAGTGGCAGAGATCTAAAATAATCTGTTGATTTACCTTCCTTTGAGTGGACAGAGAAAACTGTGATGCCTGCAATGCCATATGCAGCAAGGCCTTTACAAACATATGGCAGTGATTTACCATTCCTTAGATTATGGGAGCTGCAGTTTTGCACAGTATCTAAAGCAGAAAGGATGGTAAAGTCTCAAATATTTCCAGAAGCAAAGTGTTGGCTTTCCGATGGTGACTCTGAAAATAAACAAATGACACCTATTTTGACATTGAAAAACTGTGTAACATAGATTGGGTAGCTTGGACAACCACAATGAGTTTTTACTTTTGCTGTTGTTTGTATTCTTCCATAACTAAGTTTCTCCTATTTTCCTATTTTTATTTATTCTCAATTGTAGACAGCCTCCCAGAGGGCTCACACTGCTCTTTTGAAGAGGGTCCATGTGGCTGGACACTGAATGAAACTGCAGGATCTCCTTGGTCTATTCAGGGCTTTTCTGAAATGATTCAAGGTGACTCATTTGTAGGGTCTACCTTGCAAACCACTGGTGGTAGGTTCCTCATAGTTCTCTCTCTCACTCTCTGTGTCTACATATACACAATAGCCTTGAACTTAAGTTTTTTTAATTGGTTTAAAAATTTTGGCACCATTGCCAAATGAACTTTAGCATCAGTATTATCTATTACAACTTCAAATATATCTAAAATTAGCTTTTGAACTCGATTCAAAACTTATAGTAAACAAGTTCTGCAACAAAATTAACACAGCTATGAGAGGCTAGGATTCTCCTCGCCTTAAAAAGTAATTCAAGGAATTTTCTTCTCTCTATGTAACTTCTTCCCACTTTCTTATTCTTATGATCTATGCAATTGCAGAGTACTTCTACAGCACTATGATAGCTGTTGCATCACAAAATAAAAATTGCCCAACAGAACTAGGCAGTTTGTGAAAACAAATCTTTTGAAGACCCTTGCCAAACTCCACCACTGGGTTTGGAAGAGCATCACATGTAAGCATATCCAAAGTGATCATACACTTTCTGTGCCATAAAATACTACAAAAAAAAAAAAAAAAAGAGTCAAAACGTCCTCAGAAGTGCAGAACTGTCAGCTTGGTAATTAAGAAGGAGGGAAACCAGACTCTCACATATTCAGGTTGAAAGTCAGAAGTGCTAACACACATGAGTCTTGTCTCACAGTTCCCTGTCAAAATCAAGGGTGTCCATATGAGTGTCCTGTTTGTCTCTTGAGAACAAAGACTACAGATAAGCTCTTCCAGCCCAGTGTTTGTGTCAGCAAGAGTCATTGATGCTAATGGTATAGGAATTTGGGCTGTAGGTTGATGTGAGCACCGGTATGGGAAGATCTGGAGTGATATCTGAGGTTTTTCATCCATGCTTACACTTGTGTGCATTTACTTACCTACATTAACATTAATGATGTTAAACTATTTTAAGAGATTACACAAAAAAGCAAATGATCATTTTGTCTTCTCTGATTCACTTTTATATTCACAGGACATTTCCTCTACCTGCGAGCAGACAGCAATCAGACGAGCGGTATGGCTAAGGCTTACAGTACCAGCCTGCCTGCCAGTATTGCCGCTGAAGGCTACCAGGTATATCACTGTCTTAACACCTTTATGGACAAAATCATCAGGCTGTAGGCACTATTTGCACAATTAGCCCATCATCCTGTCCCTCTGCACACTCTGCAAAACTCTGGAAAGCAGAAGAGTTGGCTATACTGCCTAGCTAGCTAGCTGGCTAGCTACTAGTTGAAAACTGGAAAGGAGATGTGAGGTGCAACCCCAGTAAAGTGAAGGCAGGAGTCCCAAAGCAGCCCCTAGTTATGGAAAACTCTCCAGCCAACCTGAATCAATTATTCCTCCAAAAGGTACCCAGCAGCTGAACTGTGTGGGTTAGCCTTGGTTTGTAGAAAAGGGAACTGGTTGGCGGGGCTGTTGAGCCATTCAGTGTACCTGCTGCTGAGACTTCTCTTCATAAATTCTGCAGTAGTTTTGTAGGAGTTAACAAACTTGACAATTTCACTGAGAACAGGAGTGTGAAGTTAGAAGGCATTAGATTTTCTAGAAATAGAAGAAGATAATAAACTTCTGTTTACATTCTTCAGGAATTTCAAAAAGTAAGGGCAACCTGGCCTGGGTAAAATCGCATAAGTTGTCGTGAGCTCAAATCTTTACAAAGAGATTTGGACAGCTCTGAGATGTTGGAATTAAAACTATAAAATATTATTATAGTTATAACACTTCGGAAAATTAAGCTGCAAGTTTGAGCTGGAGCCTCGCTAGGGGAAAAAGAGAAAGCTTTGATGCCTCTTAATTTGAGCTGGGAAAAGGAATACAGTGTAGGTGCCAGAAATGTGGCTTCAGCATTTATACTTATTTATAAACCCAGGTCATGTTTGCTGGCTAATTCCAATAAAATAAAATATGCTTGGAGATAACTTTACAAAACCAGGAGAGGAGAAGCATTAGCTGTTGGTTATTGTCTGGAAGTCACAGGAGATCTAGATCTATTCTCTCCTCCATTGGCAAGGATTTGAACCCACATTTCAGGAGCAAGGAACTTCCCGTGTCTGTGCTTTGCAACACGTGTGTGTGTGCTGCCTTTCCTGCCCATACCAGAGCTCTCAGTAATATAAAGGACAGCTGAGCATTCAAAGCAATAGTAGAAATGACAGTTTTCTCTTGCTCTGTGGCAAACTGGAAGTGGTTGCTCAAAAAAACCAGGAATGACTCCTACTTCAAAATATTCTTTGGCCTTGCCATGAAGTTGTTCACCTGTTATATGGTGCTACAATAGAAATGGTCCTATGAGTTGGAGGAAGTATATGGACCGATGTTTCCTGCTTCTAGAGGAAATACCCCTCATTTCAGGGGTATTTGGGGCAGGACAGCTCTCCCCTCAGAGAGATAGGATAACAAGGAAACCAGTGCTCTCACACCAGATGATGTATGAGGCCATGGATACTGTTGTTGTTGCCAGTGGCTAAAGAACAGTTGTCCAACAGGAGTGTCAGTAGGGTCTTCCCTAAGAAATTCTGTGTTAGGAATGCTGTTGAGTCATACACAATCAATGAGTGGGGGCTTAGTTATCTCTGTTACTAAGCAGTTTGGCTCAGGCTCAGATGTTTGGTGTCTCAAATCCCCAGGGAGGGGAGAAGTGACTACTTTTCCCTTTTTGTCACAAGTTACCATTCTTTTCCCTCTTCTTCCTTTATTACAGATCCAGTTCTCAGTGCATGTATTTGGCAGCTACAATGGTACTGTCTCCTTCTCTGTCAAGGAAGAGATAAAGGGAGCTCCAGTCATTTTGCCAATGTGGGAAAGGGCAGGGAGCTGGAGTGACCACTGGTTTCTCATCACCTTACCAATGCCAGTGCTTCAGAACCGGTAAGGGCTCCAACATCAACATCAATGGTTATGCCTATAGATTTAGTAAATTGTTACTGTCTTTATTTTGAAGTGTTGCTTTCATTCTTACCTTTTCTCAGGGCCATTTCAAGTGGCTCTGCTTGCTCAGAAAGTATAAGTGCAAATCTTTGCGCACATAGCTCAGCTCAACACAAGCCCGCACCATGTGACTGCACTTCTGTGCAGCCTCAAGCAGTACTTAGGTTTTGGGAGTAGGAAGCGTCTGTACTAGAAACATTTTACCAGTCTGAGAAAGCCAGTATGCTCACAGTGGCAAAGTGCTCCCAGTAGGTAAGCAGCTATATTAGCATAGCTGCACCCTGTGCTCCCACAGTAAAAAAAAGTCATGTCAGTCAAATAGGTGGTAAAATCACAGTTTAGCCAATACAACTGTCCAGTCTATGATCTATACCAGTGCAGCCTAGGCAGCTGGAGATCATTTGTTGACACATCACTGATGCAATAATCTCAGGAAAAGACTGTTGCCCAAATCAGCCTTGAAAACTTAAGTTTTCAAGGGTTTGGATTGGAAAATGCAGTGCAACGTTGGCTCTCAAATGAAGTCAAATATTGAAGATTCAAAGAATTTCAATGTGATCTAATTTTATTCAGATATTTCTCTTCCCTCACCCAGTGTCCCTCCATCTCAAGCTCTGTAGATGTTATTTTGCACAACAGGAACATGTTTTCAGTTTCTCCAATCTGTTCTTTTTCATTTTCCTCGGGAAGAACTCCTTCACATGAAACTTAAGACAAAAAAAATCCAAGTCTATACACATACTGAATATTATAAATGGAAATATATCTACTCAATATTGGTAACAAATAATGTCTCAAAATTTCAGGGGATAGAAGGTGTGAGGAAATTCCTTTTAACTTTAAATATTCTTTGCATCTTTATGTAAAAGGCTAAGGTATTTGGGTCTGGAAGTGAGAGAGAGCAAGAGAATGTTTTTTTACCCTGCTCTCACTATTATCATGTGTTCACCATATGCACTTTTGCCATTTATTATTCTTTTAGGGTAGGATTGGTCTGCCTGCTGGCACTGTATTTAGTATTCTTGTCTGACACAGTCTGGAGCCCTGTGGATTAGCATCTGTTTAGTTATGCATATGTAAAGTATGACCCATGAATTTGTCCAGAACAGCTCTTTTCCTAAGGCACTTTCATGTGGACCTATCTGCAGCAGAGACCATGAGGTTCTTCAGCAGTATTTAAGACCATCAGCTTCCTCTCATATATGGTTCCTTATGCTGGTTTCCCGAACCCTCCAATTCCTGTATGAGTGTTTAGTTCTGATACCAGGCATGGAAGTGCCAGGGATTAAAAAATTTAAAAGGCATTTTCTTAAAATTTTGACAGATTCTCATTCACATGGGGAAAAAAGCTCATCTCTGCCATGTGACTCTCTTCCTCAAAAATTTCACATCCCATTTCCAATACCTGGTAGTACAAAGCACTTAAAAATTACCAGCATTTTTGAGCATGGTCAAAATGATGAGCCCTTGCATTTTCTCATTCTCAACACTAGAAAAGTCATACCAAATCACCCAAAATAGAAAAGTTCAGCCTAAATTGCTTTAAGGTTAGTGAAGTTGCAAACAATGCAAAAAAATTGTAAGCAAAGGTGTGTAACAAACATTGTTGTACAATCTTAGTACGTTTTGCTATAAACCTCTGTGAATTACTTTTTCTGCACATTTATGGGTACTGTCAGCTTTCTGTGGTAATGCAAACTCTAGCAATGTTGTGCTTAGGGAAATTTTTAGTGCTGTCACATTGTTTTGCTGTATCCTGAATCTTCTGGAGACTCCTGTCCTTCTCTCGCTAGAGGGTTATATTTTTCCCTGGTTCCTTAAAGGGATGATAGCAGGTAATAAAATGGATAGGAAGGGGACAGATCACACAGGGAGAAGGAGTAGGCATGGAATGTAGCACAAATAGTTGCTGTAGCAGGTCTGAAACTTAATGGACCAGATGTAGAGAAGCCTTAGAGAAGGAATGAGGAAGCCATGGAAGTGATATACAGATAAGTTTTTAGCAAGAGCTCCCTCCAATTAATTTATTTCTTAGGAGAGAAGGAAGACTACACAGTTTGCCGATCAGCCTCCCAGTTGGGCATCTAACTACTTGGAAAACTGCTTCTGGTGATCAGCTGGCAAATTCACTTACTTGGTTCGTACCACACACAGGGGAAAAGGCTACTGTCAGAAGACAATCAAACATGCAAAAGTCCAGACACCAGAGAGCTGGAGAATGTAATCTGCTGCAGTCAGCAAAATGAGCTCAATGAGCAGGAACACTGGAAACCCCTCTGGCTAACACAGCACAAAGTTCAAAAGGCAAATTCTTCCCCTTTTTCTGAGCATGTAGAGCCCAGAGCTTATGAGATGTCTATTCTCATGCACTGGGGGAGGGTGACCATTCCCCAAGTTCCTACTTGTATTCAGCTGGAGCAGAAATTTACCTTATAGTGCAGTGCCATGCACTGCTCTGCCTCCATGGACCAGATGCAGCAGATTGATCTGACCAAAGATATAGTGTCATGTGAGTGTCTAAAGTAAGGAGTAGGTTGTGGTGCTGTATCTATGACTGGGGGTCCTAAAAGTGCCCTAGTTTGGGCTCAGGGTGCTGTGACTCTCTTCCATCAAATGACAGGGAAACTTACTGTTTCAATGGACTTACTCATGAGGTTAGAAAATACAAAACTATCGCTAAACATATTCATGAAGAGGAGTGTTTCTGTAGGAAGGGGATCTAATGAAAAATTCCCCCTCTAACCCCACAGCTAAAAGAGTGGTCATTCAAGAGACCCTTGATTGCATTCACTGCACCAACTCTTACTCCCAGAGTGCTAAGATCCTGTAGGTGTGGATCCTTTCATTTAAGCACAAGGGGTCATTCTTGAGTTAGGGTAAAAGCAGCTTATCCCCAAAGGTTTTGATGCAGCTATGCAACATTATCCTCACGACGGATATCAACCAACATTTGGTTGGTGGGTGGAATACACACACATATTTTATTGCCACTAATTTAGGACAAGTGTGTTCCTAGGCTTAATGATTAATGTGTAAGGCAGGTCAGTGCTCGATCCCTCATAAATCACCATTGAGCTTCACCAGAGATTGCAGTATGCTTTTAATAAGCTCTAAATGGACTAAACATCAGACATTTGTTTATTTCTGAAATTTAATGAAAAACTGTTCAGTCCTATCCATTGAAAGGAGATCCTTCAGCCCATTTTCTTTCTTCCTTGTGAATTCAGAATGTAGCAATGCACGTGGGACATAACAGAGCTCCTAGATAACTAACAACTGGTCACAATGGAAAGAGATGAGACAGCCCAGAGAGCTAACACTTCAGGGAGTTATGGCTGAAATTTAAAATGTCCTGACCTGAAAGAAACTCATGGCATCTTGTTGAGTTACACTGGCTGAGGATCAGGCCCAAGGCCTTTGGATATTGTGTTCATTTTTTACTCTAACTCTCTGGGGTGGAAAGCAGGAGATTATCTTCCCCCCTTCCCTTTTACACGTGTCCAATTTCATAACTGTTTCTGGTAATTTGACATGGAAGGTTGTCTGTGTATAACTATTAGTGGGGGACAGTAGCTTGTATTTCTACATGTGTGTGCAGACAGCAGGGGAAGTAAGTCTGCATTCTTGTTCCCCATTAATTGTGGAATTATATGAATGTTGGTTGGTCCTTGCTAATGTTTGATGAGCATCTAAGACGTTCAGCAAACCCTTTTGGCTACTCAGTAGGGTTTGTCTGGAGGAAACATTGCAAATGGTGACGATTATGTTTCCATGACAAGGAAACATTGTAATTTTAGGGTTGGGTTGGGTTGGGTTGGGTTGGGTTTGGTTTGGTTTGGCTTGGTTTGGATTCGTTTCTTCCCTCTCCTGCACCTTTGTTGGTCTTCCCTAAAACTTATGTCTTATTGCAAAGGTTTGAACTGCAACTCCTGGCAACCTGGGGCTGGAATTCCCAAGCTGACATTGCTATCGACAATATTACATTTGGACTGGACTGCTTCACTGATGGTGAGCCACAAATGTTGCAGAACTTCTTGAAGAATTTGGGTAGTGTAAACAGCATCCCACAGATCTAGGACACATGTTCTATTCTCCCCACAGAGTGCACATGGATCATTTGTGTTAGTTTTTCAGCACAATGCCATTTTATCTCAGACCTACTAAAGACTGCAAGTAAAGGCAATTTTATGGTCTGTTGAACTCTCCTAGTGCTCTTTTTTTCTCTAAGTTGGGATATCCTGTATCATATAGTTGAGACCTGTCCATGTGTCTTGGCAAGAAACACTAGACTTATTCCTTAGCCTCTAAGTGGAAGGATTACATCACACTGTTCTTCCACAGTCCCTGCTGACCTATTACCTCTGGCAATTGATAGCTGAAGGGAATTTGTTGAAATCAAAGGGGAAAGTCACCATATTTTAGTGGAGGAAATGAAGAAAATTAAGGAATAAAGTGACTCTCTGACAATAAAATTTAGATCACTCCAACAAGTTTGTTTTACTCTATGAGGAGGTGCATTAACTGTCACTGCCAGATATACAACAACTTTCCTTTGCTTCCTTACTGTGAACATGACTGACGACTATACATTCCACAGAAAAATGGAGCCATTGCTACCTTGTGAGACATGTTAGCAAGAGCTGGATTTTCTTAGCAAACAAGGGGTGAGAAGTTAGATAATTGAACCACATGCCAATAAGAGAAATGACATTTTTGTCCCATGGGAAAAGACATATGCTCTGTTGTAAAGGAACTGGAGGATATGTAACACTTGAATTGTGACTTCTGTTGAAGACAAAATGTATATTGGTGGTCCTGTGCCACACTTCATGTGTCACCACATCCACTATGTCAGCATTTAGTGTAATATCGTGTCCCTGCAGTGGCTAACTGTAGCCTAACATAGCAAATGGGAAGGCTTATATTAAAACAAACCTATGTTAAAAGCTCATCAACAAAAGCCCCTTTTCCTTCCCATCATTTTCTGATTCAGTCTCCTGTTCTTGGTCCCTTTGTTCTGTGAGCAGAAACCACTCTTCTATAAAATACTAAGACATGCATATTTTAGTTTGAAATTAAGAGATAAAGCTGTTCCTTAATGGTAATGTCATTTGTTCACTCTAGCTCCTTAACAGCCCTGGCTCTGAAACACTTTGGAACCTCCATGCTCACACTTCGTTTTGAAATCTTGAGGAAATTGAGGGTGACTCCAGAAGCAATTGTGCCAGCTGATGTGCACCCAGCTACTGGAGTTTATTGCCTTCCTGAGAGCAGATACAGCCTCCAGTTTACCCACAAACATTTTGCTGGGTCTAGTGTAGATATGCATCCTTTTGCAAATAGGTGGGGTGCAAATGCCCCTGCAGCAATGTTGTCAGAGCTTGTCCATTAGACTGCCCAAGCTACTCCTTATTGTCAACTGGTATAAATTGTACTGATGTCAAGGAGCATCTGGTACTTACCCCACCCGAAGGCATGACCCAGGGATGTGTGAATCACGCAGAAGAAACACATCACAAAGGAAACATGTTTCTCAGAAGCCTTGCACTTGCCACTGTTCCTTGAATCCTCTGTGCAAATTGATGTTTTCTCGCCTCTGAAAGCAACCCCTTGTATTTGTCTTCTCATGATTTTAATTCAGTTAGGTTGCAGAGAAGCCCAGTAGCTCTGCTGTGTTTTCAGTAATGAAATTACTTCTCCCTGGCAAGGGCAGGTTTCAGATGTCAGAGACAGAGCCAATTAAAATCCAAGCAGTAAAGTCTTTTCATAAGGGCAGCAGGAAGGATGTATGGCAGGAAGGAAGGAGTTGCTTCTTGCTAGGATGTAAATATTATTTTCTCCATCTATTTCAATCCTGTAGTTCAATTCTCTACAAAATCCAGTGCAGACTAAAAGCAGTGTTTATGTTTGCAAGATGGGAAAGAAGGTGAAGTTTTCCATACACCTCAAAATGGAAAGGAAAGTTTCAGTAAGATTTAAGAGGAGAAAACTGGGTAGTGAGGGCAGCTCAAGAGACATCAATAAGGAAAAAAACAAACAGACCATTCTTTGGATGGCAGCTTCTGGGCATTGAAAGATGGTTTCTCTGTGAAAAAGGTCAGATGAAACCACCTTCTGGTTTATACGATCACCCTATGTAAGACAGTGTCAGAGACCACATGGCATGTGTCTGGTTCATTGTGAGAACTTTAGATGGACAGGCATAAAGATATTTCATTGTTTTAGTTAACTAGTGTTTTCATGGGAAGAGGTTTGAATTTTCAGTGTCTAAATATGAAAACGTGGACTGACACAGCAAAAAGAGTGCTGACAGTTGTCCTCCTCATTGCCTTTGTTATTACCTTTTTGTGCTCTGAATATTATATTGTTCCAATTGAGATCACAGGTCTGTGATCTATCAAACTACTACTCTGGCCTAGAAACTACATTTCATTCTTTGCATTATTTACAATTTCTCAGAAGACTGGTTTATAAATGAAAAGACTGTCCAAAGAGAGCTTTTGTATAGCATATGTCTAGTTCTTGACTTTAGAGTCCCTGATCCAGCAAGGTCTGATTCTGTTGACCTGCAAGTCTCTTTGCTTGAGGTGAATGGTGGGGAGTGGTTCGAGACTCATTACTGCCTCCTCTCACTGATTCAAGAAGGTGTTCACTAGAAATGCAGTAGATCAGCCAAAAGGATTGGGAAGGAAGAAGCTGGTACAGCTTCCCCATTCTCTGTCCCTCTCCAGGACAAGCTGGAAAGGTGTCCTGGAATACTACAACCTGCATTAGTAAGGTGAGGCATCTTACTCAGATTAATCTCAGCCACAAGACTTCTGTTTCCATTACAGTCCCACACACAGAGAAGTAGGAGTGAAGTACTTTCTCTCTTTGCCTGCAGGAGATGCCTTGTCTTTCTCCTGTGCACTTCTCTCTGTCCTTTTTCAATGGGGAAATCAACAAGATTGGCTAAAACTTGGAGAAAGGAGTTCCGTGCTCTTCATATTTTTCTAATATAGATACACCTAATAGGAATTAATTCTTGTTCCCTTCCATTCATTTACAGTCAACATGTTGGCTGTTAAAAGATGAAGTACAAGCTAAAATACACTGGAGCAGCAGCCCCTGGATTGCAGGACTACACCATGTTTGTAGAAAACGTCACCTTACAGGTTCATGTCGTACAACACACAAAATATCAGCCTTCTAAGAGTTAGCAGCTCATGCAGACAGGGTTATGGTCAGCCTATCTTGCAGTTTGTGTGCTGCTGAACACAGAGGAGACAGAAACTTTCTTCCAGAGAGCGAAGGATTGAGACTGTTTGGAGAAGGAGGAAAGATTGTTTGTTTGGAAATGAGGCTGTGCCTTAGGATACTCAGTTGCAATGCTGAAAAAAATCGCTGCAGACACACAGATCAGCTCTCTGTTTTAGAGAATCATTCACATTCCTTTCCTCTGGTAAACATAAACAGACTTCTTGTACATCGCTAAATATCTGAAACTGTTGTGACCTTCAGGATTCAAAATTCAGTGCAGGCCTTGGGAGCATCTTTTCTGGTCCTTCATTGTGTTTTTCATTCTGTTTTCCTTCTTGTATTTGATTAATTTCATTTGGTTTTGGTTAATTTCACTTTTTACTGGCTTGACAATTTCATCCATTGAAGTTCTCTATCTAAGTATGAACAGAGCGTGTCAGGACAAAGCTTTCTTTTACTTCCATCCATCAATGTGCTTTCAGTCAGACCTGGGGGGAATTTTCTCAGGAGTAAAAGCTCAGCAAGGTCGCCATGCTTCAATTAGTTATTTGGCCTTTCTGACACAGCTAACAAAGGTGTTAATTATTGCTATTTAGAGCAGTGGCTTTGTGGCAGAGATAATTGTCCATCTGGAACTGAGTGAGTCTCTTTTGAATAGAGCATCAAACAGCTGTTAATTCTTACAACTGGAACAAATTGAAATATTTGTAATGTTTTTCAAGTGATGAGAAATGTTCAGTATTAAATTAACTGGGTTCATAACATGGAAGGAAATATGTCCTTTCTCTTATTGAGATTTTCCAATAAAAAATCTGCATTAAAATGGGTAATTTAACTATTGAAATGGAATGCTTACAGATTATAAGGCAAGGGTTCAGTTATTAGTTTTTCCTGTTGTAATGCAGCATTGGTTATGTGGTGTTCTCAGTGCATTCAGATGTTTTAGATCAGCAATTGATTTGAAATCCCTCTCTCTGAAAAGGGCTGATTTTTAAAGGCCTATTTCACTGGTCAGAAATGCAGAGTTTTGCCCTGTGGTTTTCAAAAGGGTTTGTCCAAACATTTACATCCTGTGTCAAGGGTATGCTGCTACTTCATAATTGTCTATGTTAGTGTGACATGTAATTTTATTTAGTATTTTATTCTCTAAGCAAGGTCCCAGGTGCTCAGAGTTGGTTGCCGAGAGGGGAGTGACCTCCAGAGTGACCAGTGTTAGGCTGGTTTACTTGCCATCACACCACTCAGAACCAAAGATAATGATTTTTGCTATTACTCTCCTTTACACCTCCACTGATTGGACTGTCCAGAATTGTCACTTGCCTGTTTGACCAGCAGAGCACCAATACCTGGTATCTGTTCTCCCACACTACATTTTTCCTAAAGTCTGTTGTAATCCCAGTTAGTGTAATTTGCTGGCCAAGGATCTTACTTATCCTGCATGGGATGACATGGAGGGCCTGTGTTCATGTGAAGACCCATTGACTTTAGCACACATACAAGTAGCTAACCCAAGACATGGGCTTAAAAGAGTAATACAAAATTATGATTGTCTAAAACACCTTTTCTGCCTGAGGTAATATTTACTTAATTTAACCAAATGGTTGTACTTAATTCATTCATGTGATCTTGAAATTTTCCATCCCTCTTTTCTACCACCCTCTCATCTCTCTCCTCTATTCTACAAACTATTACAGGAAGACAACCAAATAATATTGGTGGGAAACGCCAGTACCCACGTGAGATTAGTACCAATGAGCGTCTTCTGAAACCCCTGGAAGAGCCCTCCCTCTCAGGTACATGATTCAGTACTGAAAACCTGTCCCTTCATTGTAAAAGGTGGTTCCCTTCCTATCTCCTGTGTGTGATCTGCCTGCCCTGTAGCAATAGGGCAACTATATCCATGGCAAAGATGTGGAGACCATGTCAGGTAGACTCTGTTTCACTATGGGGAAGCAGTTTGCTGGAGCCCAACACACCAGTCTTTAAATAGCAAGTCCTCTTTAAAGAAAAGAAGTATCTCAAAATAAAAGCAGAAGCTTCATGACTCAAATTTAGAGTGCACCAAAGGCAGCTCAGGAACAAAAGGTGTAGACTGGCACAGAAATTTGGGAATAGAGATTTACTTGGATTTGGAGACCAGTGAAGCTGAACAAAATGAGTACAGAATAGCGGTGTAAAGATGAAAATCCAGGGAGGGGAAATAAGTAAGGATCAGGAAACTCACTGAATAGAAAAATTGGATGAAAAACTAGGAGAATGTGGGACTGGGGACTAGTTTACTGATAGTCGTAGAGATTAGCACTCTGCAAGACAGATAACAACTGTCTGGGTGAGAAGAGTGATCCAAAGGAAGGGCTGAAGGGGAGACGTTGTCCTTGAGGCTGTTTTGCAGCTGGCAAGTACCAGTGTGTGACTGTACCAGCTCCTGAAGGCTATGTCCACCTGGAATGTGACAATCTGTACTGCTGTCAGTTCCCTTTAGCTCAAGGGACAGAGATTTCTGTAATGTAGCTGACATTTGTACCGCAGTGATCCATCCACATGTTCACAGGAAGACATCTGTTGGGGATGGTTTTGTTTGTCTTTTCTTTTAAACAAGATTTGAATTTTTCTTTTAATGGTTTGTGATTTTTACCTCTATTTTAATCATTCAGCTCTCTGACAGCTCTACTTTTGACTCTGGCTTTGGTGCATGTGCTGCATCACACAATTTTTAGATATGTTATTGAAATTTTTTTTCTTAGGCCCCATTTACTTGCCTCAGGCTTCTTGTGCAAGCCTGAGACAAGTCACCTAAAACTTTCACCATGTTGCATAGTCATAATGGCAGATGTTTTCCACCCTTATTTCTGTGTACATGCTTTAATTCTCATCTGGAAAGCCTAATATTTTCTTGTTTCATACTGGCACTGAGAAGAGAAATTTGATCATGTCTGTGAGACACTTGGATAAACCTCCACAGAAGTCCTGTCCCTCTCCCCTTCTCACCTCCCCCTCACCTCTCCCCCAAAAAAATAAAAAAAATGATGGGGTTTATCTCCAGTCCATGATTTATTAAATATTGTACAGGAAATAAGGTGAGATGGAGAAAAAGCAAACAGTGACTATACCCAGAGCAGTAGTTGTCCTATGACTAGAACAAAGTGAGGATAACATAAGTACTCTATAATCTTATAATTAAGAGTGATATTTTAGTGGATTGCATTATGAGGGAGCTGCATTAAATTGAATAGATAAAAGCAACTTAAGTATGTACTAACTTTCAAGTCTTCACATTGTAAATGCAAGTTTAAGCATTTTTTGCATGATAATAATAATAATAACAATTATAAGAATGTGATCAAATAGATCAAAGAGATGCATTGAGTTTTAAAACCCTGTAGATAGCAAATACTGCTTCAACGTGGTCTTTCCTTTGATCATCTATTTTTTATATAGAAATGGTTAACGTTCTATGTGAATAACAGTAATAATAATGTGAATTTTGTTATCAAAGGATCATTAAGGAAAGATACCAACAAGAAACGGTTGTTTGTTTTAATTGCACTTGTCCTTCGGTTATGTAGTTCTGTGAGTTATCGCACATGTGGCTGGAAAGCTGCCCGATGGAAAAGGCCCTGGGGGTGTTGGTTGACAGCTGGCTGAGCATGAGCCAGCACTGTGCCCAGGTGGCCTCCATTAGTGCAGGTATTTAAAAGTAGTGTAGACGTGGAACTTGGGGACATGCTTTAGTGGTAAACTTGGCAGTGCTGGGTTAAGAGTTGGACTAAATGATCTTAGAAGTCTTTTCCAACCTAAACAATTCTATGATTGTGTATCTGAGAAATATGGGGAAACTCACACCTGACCTAACTCTTGCTGTTTTGGTCACAGGAGACACAACTGTTGTATTCTGGTGGTTCTCAACATGTGGTGCCAGTGGCCCTCATGGGCCAACTCAAGCTCAGTGCGACAGTGCCTATAAGAACAGCAGTGTGACAGTGACTGTGGAGAAGGAGGGCAGGCTCCGGGGAGTACAAGTCTGGAGAGTGCCAGCCACAAACCGATACAGGTGAATATCAGCGTGTTCTGGAGAGGCAGCCACATTTAACTACTTTTTGTGCGTGTGGAGTTTCAGCAACCATAAGTGTGGGACTATCTGCACTGAGTGGGGACAAAGAAATAGGAGTGGTAGCTACAAGGATCTGTGTTCTGAGCTACTGTGAAGCACAGAAGGGTGGAGTGGTGACTTAGAAGAGGTCAGAACAGGAGTGAGAATGGGCATGCAGCCAAGTAGAAGTGCTGCCATCATTTTAGTCCTGAAGTCTTTGACTCTTAGATTGGGCTATACCAGCTCGTGCTATTTGCTCCTGAAGTCTCTGCCTCCAGTACTCAAGTGTAGAGTTAGTCTGGGTCTACCTGGATCTGAGGCAAAGAATAGCCATGAGCTGCTACAGGAGGGGAGCCTGCTCTTGAGCAATGCCTGTTTGGAAATGAAGGCTGGGGAGACCTTGCAGATGGAGTTACTTTGGGGATGAGAAGTGTGAGAGCTGTTTCTTTAACTACTTACTTTTTCTTGCAGGATTTCTGCCTACGGAGCAGCTGGAGGCAAGGGAGCCAAAAACCACAATAAGAGGTCCCACGGAGTTTTCATCTCAGCCACCTTCCACCTGGAGAAAGATGAACTGCTGTACATCTTAGTGGGACAGCAGGGGGAGGATGCCTGCCCTGGGGTGAGAGCCACCAAACATGTGTGGGCAGAGACCTTGCAGATTTGATTCAGTGGGTGGATTGAGGTTTGGTGATAAAGATAGAAATTCCAGAATCCAGCAATAAAATCGAGTCAAGAGACTGGAGAGAACCAATAAAGCAAGTTAGAAAGAATCTCAAAAATATAAAGAACTCTGAAAAGAAAAACAATCCCAAAATGCACAAACAAACATGAAGCCCACAGGAACTTTGCTTTAAGCTCCTGGTCTTTGAAATAAGTTCCTCATCAGCTTTCTTGTGCTTATTTTAGGCAGGAAGCTAGTAGGTGAAAGTGGTGTGCTCCCTCTCTTGTTTTTCCACAGCCTAGGGTTCTTTCTGTCTGCCAGGATTTCGGATAATTTATTATCATTTGTGGAAGCATCCAGCAGTGTTGTGCCTGCACTGTGTTAAATACTCTCTAGGCTTAGAAACCAAGGTCTGAATTCAAAGCCTATCAAAACAATTGAGAATCTTTCCACTAACTACATTGCCCCCTGGATTAGATATTTGTAATGACAAAAAAACACTTATGAGTACTGGACATGAATACTTATATATGTGTCTTCTAATGCGAGACCAAATGATTTGAAAATCCTTTTATCACATAGGCACAAAAATGCCTCTTTTCAGCATGAGTTCTTTAATATTGCCTTTTTCTAGAAATGTGATCAGTTAACCCCTGCCCAGGAACAAAACTACTTTCTCCTTTCCCCACAGATTGAGGTGTTTCGAGATGCATAAACTATTCTTGTAGGGTTTAAAAATTACTGTTTACCTTGCCCAGAGCATATGATGCCTTACCCAGATGCTGCAACAGATTCTAAAACCAGCTTTTCTTCACTTCATATAGTACAAGAATTGTATCTATGTAAATAAAACATACGTTTGTATATCTGCAGTTCCCTTTTCAGTGCAGTCTCTAGTCTTAGGTCATAATCTGAAAAGTTGTCAATGAATTCCTTGCATTTCATGACTTGTTCTCCAAATTGCAAAGTATAACCCAGCACTAACTATCTCCCTTCGACAGGCTCTGCTGGAAACAGTTTCAGTTTATTTTTCCCATTTCCAAAGCCTAACTTTCTTTGGCTTTGGAAATCCTAATGAATCTGTATATTGGGTAACTGATGTTTGTTTTCCTTTCTCTGAAGAAGTTCTGCAGCTCTAAACTTTGATTCTCTCTCCTCAGATTTACCCCAGTTGCTTTTCCCTGTTCTTCATCTAACCTGTCATCTTTCATTCTCTTATTTGAATCACTCCATTAACTAAGAAAGGCCATGAACCACCACTACCAGAACTGAGAAAGAGCTCTCCCTCTGTTAATTTTCAATGAATCTCAAGTCTCAGTCTTGGGATGAGGTGCAATTGGCAGAAACTGGAACACATGATGTTCCAGCTGAATATGATGAAGAGCTTCTTTTTCATGAGGGTGACTAAGCACTGTAATAGGTTTTTCAGGGAGGTTATGGAGTCTTTTTCTCTGGCGGTGTTCAAAAGTGGTCTGAATTATTTGTTCTGAGGAAGTCTGCTTGAGCAAGGAGGTTGGACTACATGACCTCCAGTGGTCCCTTCCAATCTTACTCATTCAACCATTCTATGATTCCATGTGAAGGAGAGAACACAGGAAGTAAAACTGGTGCCATGCAGGAATAGCAAACTGGGTCTCCAAGTTATTCTTCCAAGACATGTCAGTAGATCATTCTTAACTATGTGCAGTCACCTCTGTGTGCTTTATACGTTTATAACCTTGAGAAATACCTAAAAAATACAGCAGTAAGAAAGTTCTGAGAATTAATCCATAATGAAAACCATTTTAATGTTTTTGGTTATAAGAAGTTCTAAATATGTGAAATATGAATTATGTGGTATCAGTAATGAGTTATCACTATTACTATATTTTCACTTGTATGTATAATGTGAGTTAAAAATCAAGGTAGCAGACAGACCTATCCCTTAGCTGTTGGTCCTTGCAGAAGAATTCACTTTCCACAAAGATAATCTACATACTGGTTTATATATGTCTGATATGTCATTATACTGAAATATACACACAGTGCTCATGAGTTGGACTTCACTGATATTTGAGTACATCTCTCATCTCCTTTCAGAGCAATCCTGAAACCCAGAAGATCTGCCTAGGGGAGTCATCTCTCATTGAAGAAGATTACAGAAAGAAAAAGGATCTGAGGGAATGGGCTGGGGGAGGTGGAGGTGGAGGAGGAGCAACCTACATCTTTAGAGTAAGTATTTCTTCTTTGCATCCTGCCTGAGTAGTGTCCAGCAGAGCAACTAGCTCTCACTGTCAATCATGTCATATGATAACCACTTCTTTAAAAAAAGGTGATGAAAAAGGACTCTGCCTTTCCTGTCTCTATCCCTCCCCTCACCTTCTGTCTCTCTTTGGTTTTTGTCTTTTTAATTATTTATCTCTTCTCATATCCTTGATCATATTTGTCAATGTCACTAAGCTAGTTGAACTGGTTTTTCAGTTCTTAACAGCTCAGATCTGGGAATTACACCAGGATCCCACTTTAATACAGACAGCAGTCCTAAAACAAATGAATCCTAAAATCTTGGTGTTCAGTTAAACAATTACTTTTGTACACAGGAACATGATGTAAAACATTTTCGTAATGATTCTGTGAAATAATCAGTAGCATTGCCCTGGCCTTGGTCCACTTTGGGATTCTTTCATGCTCATTGATGAGTTTATGTGAGTTCACCTATCCAAGGGATGTGAAGTTTTTCTGATGTTTGATGGGGGGTTTTCCAGCAGAAGGATGGGATTTTCGAACCTTTGCTCATCGCAGCAGGAGGAGGAGGAAAAGCCTACCTGAAGGCTCAAGACAGCTCCCTGGATGATGTACCCCTGGAGCAATTTGAGAACAGCACTGCAGTACCTGGAGTCAGTGGAAGGACTGGGGCATCAGGTGAGATGCTAAAACCACACAAGGTCTGAATTAGGTGGCTTAATACACACATTGTCCTGTGGGTATGAAGTGAAGGGCTTCTGTTTTGATCTTTTGGAATTTTTCTATGGCAGTAGTTGTTATAAATATACTGAGTAGTCTGTAAGGATGTTTTTTTATATAGTGTGTCACCAGATAAAAAGAATTCATAAGAAAGGCGATGAGTGCTCCAGTAGAGGCTATTCCATAGGAGGACTCCTCTCTTCTATGAACTGACCCAGTGAAAATGATTTTTGAGGGATGAAGCCCATTCCTTCACACTGCAACAATGGCCTTTGAAGAGAAGACTTTTTCCCTGTTACTCCCCCAAAACCCTACCTCGTGGTTTAGGAGTGATACTTTCCAATTTAGTGCTCTCACTGAGACTCTGGAAACCACATGCCACTTGCTCCCTGCAGTGAGATGGCGAGAACTGGAGGCACAAAAGGTGAAAATCAGGGTTTGAGTTAAGAACAAATTACCGGAAATAGCAGTGAGATAAGAAATGGAACAGTAACAACAACAATATTAATAACAAAGTGTACAAGATAGACAAATGATTCACATGTGATTGCTCAGAACCAGTTTCACCTGACTGCTCCCTCCAGCTCAGAACTGGCGTTATCCCACTGCTCCCTCCACCATGCTTACTCAACTTACTCCCCACAATGGAACTCCCTCCTCCCCCCCAACCCCCAGCAATGATATGAGGTGGTACAGAATAACTTTTGGGTCCTAGACATGCCCTCTACTGGCTATTGCAAAAATTAACCCTGTCCTGGCCGAAACCAGGATACCCTAACGACAAAAGTTATATTATGGAAATTATACCAGAAATGGAAGCTTATTTATAATCTTCTGTTGGATGTGCCTAGAATCCATACCTAAGATAAATCCAGTGGTTGTCCATCTCCTGCTGCAATAACCTCACAGAGGGGCCACTAGAATGAGAGGAAGAAATCCTGTTTATTTTTATTTCCCTGGGGAACTCAGCATCTCACATGGCTGAAAGGCCTAACCAGTTATCCTGAAGGGGAATGATGGGCTCCTTATTTCTTAAATGCCGCTAGAAACTGGTGCTAAGGTATTGGCTTATGCAGCACTTACCACAGGTTGTGCTTTAGATTTCCATTTGGTTATTGCAGCAAGGAGCTTGTGTGTATATTTCTTAAACTTAAAGAAAATGTTACCTTGAATGTAGACACTTAAGGTCTAATCTCTGTCTTTCTACAGAGTTCCTCTGCTTGTCTTTCCCTTACCTATTCTTGTTTTATTTTCTTACTCTCTGAAGGTGGAGGTGGTGGCTGGCAAGATGAGAGTCTTCTTCCTCAGACTGGGAAGTCCCTTCTGGAAGGTGGAGAGGGAGGTCAAGCTTGTCCCCAGGCACTAGACAAGCTCCAGTGGGCCACCTCTGGTGGTTTTGGTGGGGGAGGAGGAGCCTGTACTTCTGGAGGAGGAGGTGGAGGGTACAGAGGTAGGTCTGCTGGAGGAATCGGTCATGGTATCTAATTTTGTACCCTTCAGAGCACCTGCAGTTAAGGGCTAGCACTCAGTGCAGAAGGACACTGAGGCAGAAGGTGACTCACAGATACTTCAAGCTGAACAGTATGAAACCCACCCTACTCTCCACTGTCTCCCTATAACTGGGGAAATCAAGGTTATAGAAGTGTTCCTATGTGATTTAGTATTTGGAAGGTGTGGTGAATCACCCCTTCATCCACTCCCAAGTTATCCGTGTTCCATTTCTTTCTTCTGTTCTAAACAAAAACATTTTTACCTCGCTGAACTGAGAAACCTATATTAAATAAAGTCACTTCACTAGCCTTCGTACTGGCTGGGTCAAGTGAGTGTTTATCCATCAGTGGTATTGTACATACTAATATCACTGGAAGACTGCAGAGTGACCCCAGGTGATAAGTGCCAGGAATGAATGCAACTCTTCAGAGGCATCACATTTTTTGCAGAATGCGGCACTGATCAGCTAGCCATACTCTTCTCTCCCCAGGAGGGCATGCCTCTGATAATGATGATATTACAGCTGGTGGGCAGGATGGCATCTCTTTTGTGAACCCTATTGGAGAGATCTTCTTGCACCCTTTGGCAGGTACAAAATACTTCTTATTCCAGTTTATTTCTTTCCTCCTTTTCCCTTCTTCCTCTCTATTTCCTCTTTCCTGCTCCTTCTTCTCCTGTCTTTGCTTTTTATTAATTTCATTAAAGCTTATTTCATTCTGCAGGTCAGATCTTTAGCTGTGGTCATTTCTTTAAATATTTCCATAGTGCTCTGGGACACTTTTTCCCCCAGTCTCTAAATCAGGAGAGACCCAGTCAACAGGTTCAACCACACATCCTCAGTCCCCGACTTTTCCAGGTCAATTAACTTCAAGACCTCTCTGTTTGCTTAAGGAACCCAGTATCTTCTTCCCTACTGGCCCCAGTCAGACTTCTGACATGTCCACATTGTGTTGGACTACCAGATCTCCTGCAGAGAAGGAGAGAAGTTTTAGGTACCTGCTGGGTTTTGTTTTGTTGGGTTTTTTTACCTTACAGGAACAAGAGAGGAAAAACTGAACTAAGCTCACCTGTTGTGTCTTATCCCTTGTTCAGCCATGGAGAGTCACGGTGAGGTGGAGATTCAGATCTATCTAAATTGCAGCCACTGCCACTCAGACAACTGTAAGCGGGACCCTGACACCAACCTTCCAGTCTGCCAGTGTGAGATGGGGGCTGTGCTGGCCAATGACAATGTCACCTGCACTGGTAAGTTGTGAAATATTAGCTTCATTGGATAACATCTGTATTCCTTATATCACCTCTCCTGGCTTTTTCATGTTCAGTTCCCAAAGTTAGAGCTAGCGGCTCCAGTGGGCATGGTGTTGTGAGAATTGTCAGTCAAATATATGACTGAAAATTCCTGATGACCTTTCCTTACATGCTGAACTGGATCTCTGTCACCATCTCCAACATTTATGTTTGGATTAAGTAGAATGTAAAATATCTATAAAGAGATATGGTGTAAGTTTCCTAAATGGGCTTAGTGTATCAGCTATTTAAGTGTAAATACCTGTCCAGGATAACATACCACCTACTGCTGAGTTATTTAAGCCACAAATTACCTCTTTCCACAGCAGTTTCCCACTGTGTCTGTCAGCTGATGCCTTGTACTCACTGTTATTTCCTGACACAGTCTCTTGGAGTTCCAAAGCATCAAGACTGTAGAAAGTTTCAACTTGTTAACAGTGATGTTACCCATTTATAGAAAACTGAAGAATGTGTTTTATCGGTTAGTTTTCTATCTTCACAATGATTTTTAAACTGTTTAGGCTTTTTTTCCAACCTCCAGCGTTGTAGAGGGATTTGCTTTAATTTTTATAGGATGGTCTGGCCATGACCTCTCTATTGTTTTCTGAAATGCAAGCAACCTTCAGAGAGATGTGTTACGGTAGCTCTGGTTGGTTTCTGATTAATGCACAGGTGTTTTTATTATTTTTTCCAGTGCCTCAGGGTCCTATCCCAGAGGGATACCTGTCTCTCCCCCTCCTCCTAGCTGTGGTGTCTGTGATTGTGGTGCTTGGAATGATCCTCACTTGCGGCAGCCTATCTATCAGTAAGAAACACTTTCTTATCATCCATTGACTTGCTTTTCCCAGTTAAATTAGGCAAAAGGAAACTACTTAACCACATGCCACTGCTTTTAATATTTGGAGCCAAAATGTTGTCATGTCCCAAGTGGATCAGAGGGACAGGGAAAAGAAGTTATAGAAAACAGCACCCCCTGCAGTTACACATAAGCATAGTCCCAAAGGGTAAGGACTGCTCTTCCCTGGTATTTGCCACAGAAGGGAAAAAAAAAAAAAAAACCCCAGCGTGGAAAGCCTTCTTAGTAGCTGTTTCTTTAGCAGGCAGTGCTATACAGGATGAAGTCACAATTTGCATTAAACATATAATTCATTCAGGGAGATGGTTTAATTTTTGGGACTCAACGTCAGCAAGACTTCTTACAGAGCACTCTTTCCTCAGCCAAAGTACAAAGAAGCATAGGAAAACTAAGTTGCTCCCAGGTGCCTGCAGGAATGATTGTTTCCATATCCAGTGTTAAATCACTACAGGGCATAAAGGAGAGAGTGATACTGACAAGCTAAAGATGCTTCTTGAGCATTTATAAGTATGGGGTTTGTTTCTTTCTGTTCTGTGTGGCCAGCATTATCTTTTCTGTCCAGGGATTGACCTTGTTTGTGCATTTTGGTTTATCTCCTTACCTGCAGTTTATCACCTTAAGAAGCAGCAGCTGGAAGGAGCCAGGGCACGACTGCAGAGCCCAGAATATAAACTGAGCAAAATCCGTACATCTGCCATCATGACTGATTACAACCCCAACTACTGCTTCGCAGGGAAGGCTGCTGCTCTAAGCGAGCTGAAGGAGATCCCACGGAAGAACATCTCTCTGCTTCGGTAAGAAAACAAGGGCCACCTATCTGACTAACTGCAAAGTACCTAGTCCAAGTCAGACAAAATACAATAGATATGATAGTTGTTATGTTCTCTATGATATTTTGATGCCATGAAGTTCTCAAGCAGAAGTATAAAATCATGAGTCTCCTGTTCCATGTTCCCACATGCAGCATACAGTATTTTGCCTTTGTGTTTTTATGTGTTGCCCTGGATTGCACTTGCCTCCTGCCAGTAACTCCCTTCCAAATCTATAGCAATGTTTCTTTTTTAACATTTTCCTACCACAAGGAAATTTCCCGTCACAAGGAAATACATGTTAGGTTGCCCTTTGACTCCCTATCATCCAGATGATGTTGATCAAAGTTATAAACCTTGTAAGGAAAAACTTGATCACTCTTACGTGCTGTCTTACACTCTCTTCTGAAGACATCAGTCTGCAGCCATCTCATTCTGTTGCTCTCCATTTTCCTCTTGTTTTGCTATTGCCATACTTGGCGATTGGGCCTAGGATTGAGGAGGCTACTTTATTTGTTCAGAACCATCAAGGATCCAACTGCACTGTTTTAGTGACAGTGACAGAAAATACTGATAAGTTATCCTCAGAATCTTTGAGAGGAAAAAAACTCTGTTGTTGATTTCATGTCTTACAGCAGATTCTATTCCCAGTCTTGGACTAGATGAAGAGAAGAGCTTGGCCAACACTGGACCCAAGTGTATATAATATCTGTTCTCTCTCTTCTTTTCTTGCAGGGCACTAGGACATGGTGCATTTGGTGAGGTTTATGAGGGAACTGTGGTAGGCATTGCAGGGGATCCCAACCCTCTTCAGGTTGCTATCAAGGTCAGTACCGACAAATTTCTTATACAGCAATAATGACCCATAAAAGCCATATTACCTTTTTACTGTTCCACTTGGAGATTCACGTTCATCACATGCATAACAGCATACACAGATGTGTAATGCAGAGTTCCACGCTTTGCTGCATCCAGGAATTATCAACTTTGATTTTTAAGTTGTACAGCACTAGCACCAGCTAGAAAGTAAAGCATCTGTCTTTTTGCTTCATGCCTAATGGCTGTAAGGTGTGGTCTAAGCAGGAAGAGAATCTAAAAGGGGCAATCTGTTTTGTAAGCTCTGTTCCCATTGCTCGGTAGAGATAGAATCAATGCCCTCAGATTGGAAGTTGTGTGAATTAGTCACCTGGAAACTGCATGTTATGATTAGTTAAAACAATTAATTATCTATTAGCATTATTAAATATATCTCAATATATGAACCCAGTTCATCCCAGCAGAGAATCTGCCACAATGATTTATAGTTGTGAATAACCAAGAAAAAAAGAGTCTTAAAGGGAATAAAAATAGTAGTAACAAATAGAATTTTGGGACATCGAGGATTAGAATGGGATTTCTGAATTTTGTACAAAGAAAAGAAAGCACTGGATAATATTAGTATAAATAATTTATGTGACAGTAAACAGTAAACATTTACAATAATGCCTATATATTATTGCTTCTGCATTTCAGTGGGTTTGAGTGCTTTCTCCTAAGTTTTTCACATGATGTTATCATATTTAAAAATTTATGAGTTTTCTCAGTTAGTTTCCTTTACACTGAGGGTAATGTTTTCTACTCTATGTGAAACTTCTGGTAGTCCCTTGTTATTGCACAGTGTTAAATATGCTGTTGTGAATATATATTGTGATATTAAGCTAATTTCCATGTTATTAGTGACAAGAGATAACAGGCTGATTTTCTGTGAAATTACTGAGGTTTCCTCAGGATTTGTCAGTTACTCAGCCCTGAAGTTAAGGATGCTCATTGCCTGCTTTTGTTATTTTATAAGCTTGTGACTCAGAGAACCAAATCTACTTCTATGAGCTCAAGAATGTAGCCTTCATTAATAACAAGAAGTTCTACTGTTATTCATCCTGTCTTTCAAAACCCTCTTAAAAAAAAATAAAAGTGAAAGGATCATGCATTACAGCATTTTATTATGAACTTACCTGTGCCACTGTACTAACGTGAATGAAAACCCAGGGCACTAGCAAGCAGTTGGAACTGCCCAACTCAGTATCACTGTCCAGACTGTAGGAAGCACCAGAGCACAGTGGCAAACAGAAGAAGATGTCAACAGTTTGGAAAGTCTTGGCAGCAATGGCCACTTGTTATCCACATATTGTTTATGGGCCTTCCACCAATTTAATAGATGACCTGCACTGTTCTGTGTGAATCAATCACTTATTTCAGATAGCAAAATGCAGCCCTGCCTCCTGTACCCCACACTACTGATGACAAGAGCTGTTCCCATGCCAGACACACTGTGCTGAGCATCCCACTTCTCTGTGTGCAGTGTGGCCGTGGGCGCTACCTGCAGCTGTGGCCAAACCACCCCCTAATGTTAAAACAGTAGCATGTGCTGCTTCTACTGCTGCCTGTGCACTCTGTTCATCTGTGTCAGCGGAAGGTGCTGTCCAAATCTGCTGGCAGGAGAGAAAGTTATAAGGTTATGTGACACAAATACTTAAATCAAGTGGCTGTATGTGTCATATGACATGCAAGCATGTGCTGCAATGTGGACATAAAGAAAAGGGAGAATAAAATAGCACCCGTAATTTAGAAGAGCTTTCTAGGTCTGTAATTCCCCACCTAATGTCTTTCTTGATGTGTACCTGAAGCTATTTTTACTCCAGAAGTGTGCATAGAGCTAAATTCACACAAAAAATCTTGAAGTAAGTAATTAGTTTCCTCTTCCAACTTTAACTACCAAATGGGTCAAAGGCACTGCAACAAACCCAGCAGTGAAAAGATGAGCCGCTCCTGGTAGGTTGCTGAAGTGATTCACATTACATGCTTGTTCTTTTTTTTTTTTTTTCTGTTGGTGGTCACCTATTCTCAATTCTTTGGTGGGATGGCCCTCGCTGTCTTTACCTCTCAATAGACCCTACCAGAAGTCTGCTCTGAGCAGGATGAGATGGATTTCCTGATGGAAGCATTGATTATCAGGTATAGTTTAAAGTTTTTCTACTGATGGTGGGCAGGGGGAAAAGAATAATGCAGGTCATCATAGAATCATTTATCCACTTGCATTGAAATCCAGTTTTATTTTTCACCAGATGGCATTTTAGTAGCATATAAGTTACTGGTTTCAGCAACTTGTTTATCTCAAGATAACTCAGGTTCTTTTGTTGCCCATCTCTTGTGGTTTAATGCCAGCAGACAACTTGGCCCCACACAGCAGTGGGATGGAGAACAGAATCAGAGGGCAAAAAGAAGCTCATTGTTGAGATAAAAACAGTTTGATACATAAAGCAAAATCTGTGTGTGCAAGCCAAGCAGCGTTAAAGTCATTCAGTACTTCCCATGGGCGGGCAGGTGTTCAAGAATCTGCAGGAAAATGGGACTCCATCATGTGTAAAAGCTACTTGGGAAGAAAAATGCCAAACTCTGAATGACTCTTCCCCTCCTTCCTCCTTCTTTCCCCAGCTGTCATTGCTGAGCATGATGCCATATGGTATGGGATATCCCTTTGGTCATTTGGGGCCAGCTGTCATGGTTGTGTCCCCTCACAACTTCTTGTTCCCCTCCAATCTTTTCACTGAGGGGGAGGGAGATGTGTATGTGAAGAACCTTAATGCTGTGTAAGTACTGCTCAGCAGTAGCTAAAATATCAATGTGTTATCAACACTGTTTTGACCACAAATGCAAAATATAGCACCATATGAGCTACTGTGAAGAAAAGTAACTCTATCCCACCCAAAAAACATTACAACAATTTAACAAAATTTCTGCTGGTTGGTCTTGTTCAGAGGAGTAAGAAGGCACAACATATTTTACAAGTATGTTCTGCATTTGAAATGTTTGTCTTTTCAAAGAATCCTATTACTCTCTTATTAAGTATAGTTCATATTTTAAAGCCCTTGCTAAGCAAATTTTCAATGATGAAATGGAAAACAGTAGGAAAGATAAAGATTAGAGTTACCTGTGCAGTCACTGAGATGTTCAGCCTCTGCAAGAACAGCACCAGAATGGTGCAACACAGGCTGTGTGCTGTGTGCTACCTAGCCTTAGATGCTAGAGCTTAAGCTATATTATCTCTTGCAAATATAAGTTAATAGTTTTTATAGGAGCAGATTTGGCAGCTGAAGGAGAAACTGTGAAAAGCTTTGCCCATTATGGCTTTCAGTCAGTAGCTAAGTGTATGTGCAGCCTTTTTGCTTTTCCTATCTGCAGAACTGTTTGCCATAATAAAGCACTTTTTGCAATGAAGGTCCTGGGGCTTTTACACTTTCTTTACACAAAAATAACTGAGTGATACATTCTGAAACCTCAGCAGGGATAAGGTAGTGAATATGGCTTTGTCTGTGTAGCTTGCACAGGTGGAACAAAGTTCTTCTCTCAGTGCAGCCACTTTTCTTAGATGTGTTCTGGCTTTTGATGCCTTTGCAAGCTTGACAGAACCTTTATAAGGTCCCATCTGCATGACCTTCTGACAGTGAACTGTAAGATCTATAAAACCTGCCTGGAAAAGATAATAGACAGCCATTCCTACTACCACCTGTGCTTTAAATATTCCAGTCCTGGAATTTACTTTGTTAACACAAATACATAACTTAAAACAACAGTACAGTCAAGAGTGGCTTTACAACAGTAGTATAGTCAGGGTTCATTGTAAGTGACTGGAATCTATGCATTTTGAATTTGTGCAATATGAAGTTCCTCTTGCCATTGTCCCGCCCAGCTCATACCTAGATGCTGGGTTTCTGCCATTAAAGCATGAATCTCATGCCATAGCACCCCTTCCTACAGTCTGCAAGAACTTTGGCAGCTGAACAGGAGGTAACACTGATGTATGTTTTTTTGAAGAGCAATTTTAATCAATTACACAGCGCCTTGATTCACTTAGAAAGGAAGCTGGGGAAGAGAAAGAGTCATGTGCTACTATTTTTAGTTCCTTTATTATCCAGGTAATCACTGTCTAAGGGAAGATGTTGCTGTCTAATGACTGAATCTTACTGAGCTTCTTGACAACCTCAGCTTTCTTTTGTAAAAAGCAGAAAGCCATCACATAAACAGCTGCTCCAGCAGGTATGAGCTGAGTCCTTGTTTGGCAGATTAAATAGAGAACGGAATCCACCAAACTAGACAGCACTATATTTAAAATAACCAATGCTGAATTAAAATCCCTATCAGTCAGGACTTTGTTTCACAAATGCCAATAAAATTTTCATGCTTAACTTTCCTATCCCTCTGATATCACTCTCCTCTTTTAGTCAGTGTGTCCATTAAACTCTGTTTTCACAGACAGAAGGCTCTGCTTTGCTTTTAACTTTTCATACCTTCTGTTGAAGGCTTTCTATGGGTAAAAAGATATAATCCTGGTCATAACCAGGGAGGCATTTTGATATGGCTGACGTTTGCTTGGTAACTTGTACCACATCAAGATTTGCTTCTATACAGGTTGATCAAGGCACAGTGAGAGTGTGATGGACGATGGCCAGGTACTAATGCTGTCTTTCTCTTCTGTGTTGCTGTGCCATTGGCTTTCAGTAAGTTCAATCATCAGAACATCGTGCAATGCATTGGTGTCAGCCTACAGACACTGCCTCGCTTCATTCTGCTTGAGCTCATGGCTGGAGGAGATATGAAGAGCTTTCTTCGGCAGAATCGACCCAGGATGGTGAGATAACTTCTCTACTAGGTTTGTGGTTCACTTTAGTATGACTGGTTTTATAGTTTTATGAACTGAATAAAAACACTGAAGCCAAGCTAGGCTGTGTGTGTGTCCCAACTCCTACAGATTTCTGGACACCTATTTCTGTTTGCTTGAAGTAAGAAGGTGTCAGCGGGACAAAATGAAAGCAGAACCAGAACTGCAGTCTATTAGTAACTGAGGAGGAAAGAGTAAAATCCTGTCCTGCCATTCCAGAGTTCTCTGTCAACTGGACTACAAACTAAGGGACTTTCTTTCTCCACTGTCTGCCTGTTTTCTGTGCACTGTGATTATACATGAGGAGCTGAAGTTATAGCACTAATATGTAATAATGGGAATTCATAGCAGGTGTATATGAGCACCCTATGGAGATGCACAAATTTATACTAGTTGAAGAGCTGAACCTAATTTGTTTGATATAACTGTGATTTCTGATCATCTGTGTAAAAATTTCTCCCCACTCTTCCTCAGAGCAATAAAGAAATTCCTAGAAAAACACAGAAAATTTCCCTATGGATAAATAAATGACGGGGTGAAAATAAGCAGGGCTCCTGGAGAAACATTTCTTTATTATCTTAGTTAGGGAAGTGCAGATGGTGAAGGGTTGGTACCAGTCCTGGAGTCCTGTGGTAAAGCGTGCCTTTTTTGCATATTGCTCCTGAGGGAAATCGCTGTTCTACAAGAACAGATATGTTGATGAATGCTGACTGTTGGTGCAGAGATGTGCACTCAAGCATCTTTGCTCTCTCTCTTAGTTCACGTACTAATTTCTCTTGATAGTTTATTGACTCACTATTTACAAGTGGATGGATTTTTTTTCTCTTCCACCTCACCTTTTAAATCTGTTCATCTTTTGATTTACCCTTTACTAGGCTATTCAGGCCAGCTCATATATCTCTCACCAGCTTACTCATGTACTGTGCTCAAGAGAGGGGAAATTTTCTTGACTAAGAGTTCTTAACTAAGAGTTTACTAATTTTCTAACTCTTTGCTTTGATCTGCTTATGTTCCTCTTTGCTCAACCCTTCCACCATGATGAATGTGTGTTTCTCCCTTCCCCTTCTTCTGCCCCTCTCTGTTTATCCCCTGGCTGAACAATATTCTTCTGCTCCACTATTCTGCCCTCACTATTTTCTGTGTGTCTTTTTCCAGAATCGGCCATCCACGCTAACAATGCAGGACCTGCTGAACATAGCTAGGGATATTGCCTGCGGCTGTAAATACCTAGAAGAGAATCATTTCATCCACAGGTGAGGAGAAACAGTCCCTTTTGATGTATCTCAAGTTGCATGAGGCTCATACAGATTTAATTTGCAGTGGATTAGACAGGACTAATCTCCAGGGGAGAGACAGATATTTCCCCTACCAATACAGGCTTGTGCCTAGATGTCCAGGAGGGTCTCACTGGTTTTTGTTAGGAGTTAGGTTCTGCACTGTTCTTTGCACTGCTGGGGAGAAAGGAATCTTCCATTCAAAGTGATCAGTTTTAAGTGTTAATTTTCAGGTGCCTGCAATGTAAAGACATTTGAGATGAGCCCTGTAGTCCACTAGATGGTAGTGTCACTCTGTTTTGGCTGTTTGATCTCCCTATCTTGACTTAAATGCTTTCCCTATCCCACCAGGACAGGACAGCCCATCATAATTGAGCCAATGATTAGGGAAGTGTAGAACAGGGATAATAGGACACAAAACCACAGCTCAGGCTTCCTTCCCAGCTCAGTGGCTGACCTGCTGTGTGGTCTTGGGATGCCCATATTTGTCTGTTCACACTTTTTCCCCCCCTCTTCTGCAGAGCAAAAACCTGTTCATAAGGCAGGCTCCAAATAAGAATAAAATATTACAGAAGAGCTAAAAGTTATTGTAGGTATCCTTAACTCCCAGCTGGACACTGGACTCCTTTGTTCCCGACTATGAACTGTTTCAGCTCATAATGTTCCCAGGCATCACATAAAGCTGAATTCCTTACTATGAACTGCATGCTGAGTTCAGCCCTTATGTGTAAATCAGAGGAGAGACCTGCACAAGAGGGTCACGCAGGCTTTAACTAAACTGAGGTGCAGTCTAGAGATCTGCAAGTCGAGAACTGATTCACCCACACACATGAGCACGTGTACATATGCATGACACTGCACACAGCAAAGTGACAGAAATAGGCTAGAGTGGGTAGAGACTGGAGAAACTTAGGGAAACAAGTGGCAAGCAGCAATCAGAGCAAAAAGCCATGAGGTTGAGGGATGATAATATGTTATGGCTTCATGATTAGATCACATGAAGCAGTTTTCAGACTACTTTACACTGGAACAAGAAAGAAGTTCCTGTGAAAAAGTGTTAGAATTTCCTGTCACTACAAAAGAGCAGTAAGAATGTGCAAGAAGTTTTGGCTCTTAACAATTACAAGGGAAGATCAGTATTTTAACTGGAAACTTCTGAGTTAATTGCTATGGTATTATTTGATTAAAATCCTTACAGTAATACTAATATTCTTTTAACAGCATCTTAAAAATATATCCTTTAGTATAGTAATATCCTTTAACAGCATTTTAAATAAAACCCCTTTGGGTCAGTTTTTGAACTGTTAGATCTCTAGAATAAGCAACCTGGGAATGGATTAATTTGGTTTTACCAACAATCAGTATAGAAGGAATTTCATTCAGGTTCTGTATTAGTATTTTTCGTGGTGTCAGTATTGCTTAGGGTGGGTTGGGAAGTGAAGGTTATCACTATAGGTATCAGGTATCCTAGGAGCAAAAAGTAATGTAGTGGGGTTGCAGAGAGGTCACTAAGGGCAAGTATTGTCATCTAGGAGTCACAGCTGATAATGGAAGAGAAAAGTGAGCCTGACTTCCAAATCCTGAAGGATTTTTCATGGCTGGCAATGGGAAGAAACATGTGAGTTGTTCAAGGAGCTCATTTTTCTTGGCAGTCAACAGGACCCCCACAGTGCTATGATTTTTAATGAGTTTCTTTTCAGAATGCATATTTAAAATGAACACAAATCCTTCAGCCTTGGCCAGGAAGGCATCACTGCCATTTCTCGCAAGCTAAACCTGCACCCATCAAACAGCAGCTCACATATGGAGTTTTGCTTGATTCCATGGGAATATCTTCCCTCTTCTAACACTCATGTTCTTCGCTGCCTTAGTGAAAAAAGATGGGAGTAAGGAGTGTTTGGAAAACACTGAGTAGAAAACATAACTCAAATGCAGTTCAAGAATTGTGGTAAATGATAACTATAATATAGCTGGAATTATTTCTTTTTTTAACAAGGCTCTTCTCATTTGTGTAAAGATGGCTCAACTGAGACTTGCAGGACAGGGTCTAGTCTAATATTCTTTCTTTATTCCTTTAGCTACCTCAGAGTTTAGTATTAGATTTTATTTGTTTATTTATTTATTTATTTTTAAGAGATATAGCTGCAAGGAATTGCCTTTTGACCTGTACTGGGGCAGGACGAATAGCCAAAATTGGTGACTTCGGGATGGCCAGGGATATTTACAGGTAAGTGGAAGGTGATTTGAGTCCTGGGAATAACTCCATAATTTGTATCATTTTGACCAATCTGAACTGTCTCGTGGTAAATCAGTGGAACCACTCATATGTCTGACTTTGATGACCAGTTAACTAACCAGTGTTAACGGACTGTAAATTAACACATCTATGCTTACAAGCTGATCCACTTCAACTTTGGCCCCAGGAAAATGCAAACACATGTGGACACTAAACCAAGCATAGGCAAATTTATTAGATAATTGATCATAAACAATCTTAATTTAAAATGCCCCACAACAACCATAATTCTCAGTTTATTATGTCAAGAAGACTTGCTGCATCAACACCCTGCCAAGTTTGATGTCTTCAGCTGTGTACCTAAACATCCTCAGTTTCCATCTCAGTTGCAGAGAGGACACAAAATACCACCTCAACGCACTATTTGTGTTGATGACTTTTCCTCTTTCTCACTTGGCCCCCCTTGCCGTATGCAATCCCCAGCTGCTGTTACTGTGGTGATAAGATCTTTTATATATGAAAGCCCTTTCACGCTGTGTGACATTCTCTGTGCATTTTATATTTTCCAGAGCAAGTTACTATCGCAAGGGAGGAAGAGCTATGCTTCCTGTAAAGTGGATGCCACCAGAAGCTTTTCTAGAGGGTATTTTCACCTCCAAGACTGATACCTGGTAATAAATGTCTTTTAATCACTTCTGCTACTCACTGATCAGCATCAAAAAAGGTACTGCTCAAGAAAAAAATTGTCTGCTCAACAGGAACCTTAAAAAATGTCAGAATGTCCTAGAAAAATATGAGAAGTCTTCCCTTCTACTGCATTCAGTAGAAGCATGGCTAAAGAATTAAAAAGAATTAAGAAGTCTAATGTAAATGAAGGTAACAAAAGCTTCCCATGCATAAATGTAGTATCATATGAAGCTAATCAAGAAGTGAGAAGTGAAAGCAGATTAGATTCTCTAGAAATCTCAGTTAAAAATCCAGAGAAATACCATCAGCCATTTTCCTCAGCCCTCAGTATTTGCCACTCAATTTCCTTCAGTGACAAGACCCGTTTAAATACCTCTTAAGTGATGCTCTATACCACCCAGGATTACTCTTTTGTATATTGTTTTGTGCTGCATAGAGAATGACAGCAGATTTAATCAGAAATCCTTGTTGGTTGCTGAGGAAAAAATATTTATATCTTGATTTCTCATGTAATTTGAGTTTTCTCTAAAATAAGCACCCCCTCAACAGTAGTACATTCATGCACATTGCTGGATAATGGAAGCTTTCCAGTTGTTTAAGAGTGCCTCTTTCTCTGTACAGTAGATTCTTCAATATACTGTACTGGGACATTCCCTTAAATGCCACACTGACCCAGTTTCCTGAAGTTAGTGGTGCCGGAAGACACAGGACTGCTTATCAGCGCCTAACTGTGAGCAGCCAGCACTAAGTATTTTGAAGGAAAGTGCCACAGTTCCTGTAATAGGCTATTATAAGTACATGCATGTACTGGAAATCATTTTGACCTTTGCAACAAATAGTGACTCCTAAAATTCTGCCCCTGCTGAAGTTCTAATAGAATCCTCTTGACTTCCTTGTGTCTGGACATACACAATTTCCAGTGGCACTGCCTATTTAACCCATGCATGTAAAAAAGCAGAACAACCTAATCAGAACAAAAAAATAAATGCTGCTGCCTTCCAGTTTCACTGGATGTCTCTTACTTGATTTTATTCTTGAGCACCTTGTTCCCAAACACCGATCCAAATGTCAAGGAAATTTCCCTGTCTGACCATCCAGGAGCCAGGCTGGCAGTCACACTTGCACCACTCGCTCCATAGAGGCTCCTTGGCAGCTACACTCACCACACTCACACAGGTTTCCTCACAAACTCAGCCCCAGGTTTCCCATAGCAGAGTGTCAGATGTCTGGATCCTTAAAACAACTTAATTATGGTGCAAAAACAAAATAACAGCTTGAGCTGGTGCCTCCAAAGAGGGACCTCAAACAAAGGAAAACCTGGGGTTCTATATCCTCACACTCTTGGAGCTTGGGCAAAGGTTTTGATTGATTGTAGTTTTTTCATGCAAAAGTTGACTCATAATCACACTAATTGTACATTACTATGGTTGGACTGCACCTTTGAAAGTTTGCTGCTGTGGTGTTACCTACACAGCTTCACACTAGGTTTGTGGAGCACCAATGAAACCTAATTGGTATTGTTGGCTGGTTTCTGATGCAGGTCCTTTGGTGTGCTGCTTTGGGAGATTTTCTCTCTAGGCTACATGCCCTACCCTTGCAAAACCAATCAGGAAGTGCTGGAATTTGTCACCAGTGGAGGAAGAATGGATCCACCCAAAAACTGTCCAGGACCAGTGTAAGTATTTCCTTACTCTTACAAGCCAAGGTAAAGCAGGTGTCAAACATGTAGACAAAGACACCTCTAGTCAGGGATTGGTGATTGCCCTCAGTATCAGGTGGGTATTACTAAACGCCTCTTGAGCTATTGCCTCTTATATACAGCTAAGAGCACTATAGGATTTCCTTTAAGTAGTAGTTCCCTAATGAGACAGGATCCAGGGATGACATATCCACCTTTGTTCTCCTCCTTTCGCCCACGTACCAAGTGCTGTTCCTTGCACCCGTGATCACTTCATACTGAAACACTTTTTTCAAAATTTTCCTTCTTGATCAATACTTTTTTTTTTACTTTACTTACTTAAAGGTACCGGATCATGACGCAGTGCTGGCAGCACAGCCCAGAGTATCGGCCAAACTTCTCTACCATTCTGGAAAGAATCAAATATTGCACACAGGTATTGCTCTTTGGTATCTAGGAGGATGATAATCCATGGAATGCCCACTATCCAAAGACATTGAACACAAGCTCTATGAGGAGAGGCTGAGGGAGTTGGGGTTTTTTAACCTGGAGAAGAGAAGGCTCAGGGGAGACCTCATCACTCTCTACAACTACCTGAAAGGAGGTTGTAGCCAGGTGGGGTCGGTCTCTTCTCCCAGGCAACTATCAGTAAGACAAGAGGGCATGGCCTTAAGCTCTACCAAGGGAGGTTTAGGTTAGATATTAGGAAGAAATTCTTTACAGAGAGGGTGATCTGGCATTGCAATGGGCTGCCCAGGGAAGTGGTGGATTCTCCATCCCTGGAGGTATTTAAGAAGAGACTGGATGAGGCACTTAGTGCCATAGTCTGGTAACTGTGGTGGTAGTGGATCAAGGGTTGGACTTAATGATCTCAGAGGTCCTTTTCAACCCTGTTGATTCTATGATGTTGCTTGAAAACCACAGCTGAATGGTTATTGAGTGGAGAGGGGGAGTGAAATGCCTTGCTGAGTTCACCATTTAGTAGCATTTTAATCCTACAGATCTGGATCCAACTTCCCAAAGGAGAAATTTTATACTAGTGACCCTCAGATTAACCACAGATTTCAATAAAGCACAGCCTCTGCTCAAAGGAGGCATGTAGACAAGAAGGCATTTTTGCAACTCTTAACTCACGTGATATCCAGGTGGAACACAGCACCTTGTATATTGTGCAGGAATATTGCCCAAACCTGATGGCAGTCTCTGCCAAAACCTTTTTCGATCTCATAGCTATTTCTTTTAAAGTGCAGATGTGACAATCACCCTGGAGGTGTAACTGATTCTTGTCTCCGCTTTTAAGGACCCTGATGTGATCAACACTGAGCTGCCCATGGAGTGTAGCCCCACACCAGAGGATGAAGGGAGTATGGTCATCCACCCAAACATTTCCAGTGGGATAGTGCCACTGCTGGTAAGCCCTTCTCTCACACCTCAGACAACACCTAAAACAATGGAATCTCACCATGCTGGGCACAGACTTGTACAATGCCCACAAGAGCTACTGGTGGAGAACCTGAGCAACCGGACTGCCCGAGGACCCAGCCTGCCATGTCTCAGTGATTTCAACAGCGGGTCGTGGTTCCAGCAGACCTCAAACCAGAAGCTGGACCTCAGCAATCCAGCAACCCACAGACTTAAAAACAAAACGAAAAATCTTTGGAACCCAACCTATGGATCATGGGTGCTAGAGAATATCTGTCACTTCAGCCCCAGCTCCAAGCTCAAAGCAAATCCGGAGCGGGAAGATTCAGGCTTTGATGGGAATTGCAGTTCTCCTAGCTCTCGGGCATCTCCAGCATCTCCAAGTCGAAGCAACTGCCCTCACCTGGATATCAGTGGGATAGAACTGGTGAAACTCCAGACTTTCCCCTGTGGCAAAGCAAATTATGCTTACGATGACCTGTGCTACAGTGCTGAGCACCAGCCATTAGCTTTAGCTGAGGTCAGAGCAGCTGTGCTAAGAAGCTCCAGTCTGCACAGAGATGAAAACTCTTTTTACAAAACAGAAAAAACATCTAGAGAGAGGGACTCTGGTCTGTCTTTGTCAGATGACCTGAGTGTTACTCCAGTATAGTAGAAATGTTTTTTCCCAAGATCAGGGAATGTGTGTGTCTGGAAGGACTGCTTCCTATTTCACTTACTTCCTCCATTTTAACTCCTTCAGACGGGTGAAGTTTCAACCTCAGCAATGTTCTGCCTCCTCCATCTACCTGCTGGACCCCAAGATTGTTAAAGGCAATTGCATTTCTATCTCTGTCCTTCAAATGTGTTCCCGCTTAGAGGTGGAGAACAATGGCATTACTTCTCCGAATACCTAAGGAATGGACTCCTCAATATGCTCAGGTGAAAAGAAATGGATCTACCATCCAGCTGCAGCATTTGGATGGAAATAATGACCAACACAGGTTGTGTTTCTTTCTGACTGAAGAATCCAAAAACGTGTGCTGTGCCAGCAGCAACCAAATTGCAAAGGCTGTTACATTCCTGAGACCTTTTTACAGTCCTGATGAATTACTAATTCTCATGTAGTATATGGGAAGTAAAAAAATATAGCAACCACATTTTCATCTGTTTTATTAGTAGACCTTGTGAAAGCTATTGCTCAAATTGGAAGCAGTAGGAAACAGTAGGAAGGATGGAAAAAAAAAATAATCAGACTCCTCTGAGCATGTACTTTGAAAACAAGCAATGAAGAGGAAAACAAATTTACCATTAATAAAGCAGTAGTTGGTGGAGCTGATAGCATCCCTTTGAATAGTGGAGGAAATGTGCTGCTTACCTCACAGTGTAGCTCTCCTCACAGCTCCTGCCATTGAAGGGGCAGGTGGTTTTTCAAGAAAGGGAGAGCTGCATGGCGTGATAAGAAATGGACTGTCTTTATCTTCTAATGGACTTTATTTGAGATTAACTTAATTTTTATAAGAACTTTGATATTCAGGATTAATTCCCTGTGCTATGTTGGTAAGCATTAAGATGAGGTTCTTAGGTGACTGTCTAGCATTTGGTGTACTGGAGTCCTTGGTTTTAATACCTATGTCTCTGAGGTAGAAAGAAAGTCATGCAAAGGAAGGACAGAGTAAAGGGAAACTTAATGCAAACACTACTTGGGGTACTCTTTATACTGGAAGGCAGAGTAGCTCGACCATTTGAGAAAGCTAAAACCATGACTTGGCTTCACACAGCTGAGCAGGTCGTAATTTTTCCTTGCCTTGCAAGCACAGCACACAGACTTGCCGGTAAAGATAGTTGTTTGTTTTGAAGACAGCTCATTTCTAAGGCTTTCTTTGGTTGCTTAGGATCTAAACTGATGTTTACTGGTTAAAGCCTCCAAAATAAGGAGACAGAAAAGGCAGTTTGGATTAAGTCTGAACAGTCTTTGAAGCATTCTGTCTTTGTACCACTCCTGAATATCACACTGCCAACCTACAGTGGCAAATTCCATTACCTTTGTGTGTAATCAAGTTGGGAGGTGAGATGTCAATTGTAGACTACTCTGGTTTCTTTCTGGGGCAAGAGGGTCTCTGGTGCATGCTTTAAGCTTAGTGCTCATCTGCATGTACAGTCTGAAGATACGGGCTAATAGGAGAAGGTTTACTTTGACCACACAGACTTCCTGTCCTTTACATCATTTAGGGATGGACACTACTGAGCTGTGGTAAAGAAAAGCACAGAGTGAAGAGTGTGAATCAGTCCTCAGTGAAATGCATCCTCGGCACAGGTTTATGCTTCATTATCTTACTTTGTATCTGTTCCACACTTCCTATAGTTTTAGGACTTTGACTTTAGAATTAATAGTTTTATATAATGTCATTTCAGTGCATATAAATATCTTAAGAGCAGGTGTCAAGAGGACTGGACCAAAGTCATTCCAGTGGTACCCAGCAAAAGGACAAAGGGCACCAGGCACAAACTGAAACAGAGAACATTCCATCTGAATATGAGAAAAAACCTTGCTTACTTTGAGGGTGACAGAAAACTGGAACAAGTTGCCCAGAGAAGCTGCAGAGTCTCCTTCTCCAGAGACACTCAAAAGCAATTTGGATGTGATCCTGTGCAACCTGCTCAAGGTGAAGCTACTTTAGCAGGGGGGAGTTGGACTAGATGATCTCTGGAGGACCAACCCTTCTGTGACTTCCAGACACAAATGACCACCTTTCAGCAATGGCCTGTATGTTATGGAAATAATTCCAAATCCATGTTGTAAAATGACAGATGGTCAAAAGACAGGGTTGTCTCTGTGTGAGACAAATTCCAGTAGTAGTGTGAGCACTGTGAGGGGCTTAGTAACCAAGGGAGATGGTTGACCTTGCCTCCTGACCTTCCTTCTCTTTCACCTTTGCTTTAGCTCTCTGGTTTCTCTCACATTTAGCTTGTCACCTGTCCTATCTTACATCCAGGAGTTGCTACAGCCCAGTTAGATGAGGCAGAAGAGCCCATTTAGCAAGAAATATTATCATTCTTTCCTCTTGCAGAGCCCAACATTTGTGGTCATGTTTCAGAATGGTCATCTCTGGAATATTCTAGTCAAAAATCAATAGTTGCTCTTAGTTAATCGGAATTTCATCAGTTTATCCTTACCTTTCAGATTATATTAGTCTCACGGTTCATGCATTAGTACTTTTTTCCCCCAAAGGTGACCTATCAAACTCTCCAACAGTTATGACGTGGTGTCAGCAGGTCAGCTGCCTTCTCCCTGAATATGTGATAAGACCACAGCAGAGCGCAGTGAGCCTGGCTCAACTGCAGTGGACATGATGCCACCTCACTTTTCAACCCATGGGTATAGCAGGCTCTGTCCTGAGCAGAGCACTGGTGGTCATGACCATGTTTTTGCAGGCCCATAATGACTTTGTTTTCTCCTTACCCATCAGCATGGGTTGGAAACTGGTGGCAAGAGAGGACACTTGTTCAGAAGCCATGAGAAGTTAACTATACCACTTTCTCTTCCCACAGACTTTTTACATTAAAAATACAGAGAACTGTCTTGTGCCTGCTGCTTCATAAAATGACTATACAACACCCTAAGATTGCAGTGAGAAGCAGGTAGAATACTTGCTCTCCATACGGTTACCCACCTTGAACTACCACTGTCTTCCCCATACACAGCACTTGCCTCAATGTAATTCACAAATTTAGAAAGGCTGATAGGGATAAATCTACGTAAGCCATTGAAAAGTGAAGTGAGAGAAGAGCACAGTTCTATTACCAGTGCCACAGGCAGTCCTGACTGCAGCTGTGCTTCACTTTATAAACAGAATGCAAGTCCAGCACTTTGGAAAAATACCTGTTTTTACTGCATAGCTGCATCAAGGTAGTACAGGAAGCACATAGACAAAGCTGCACTGAGGCACAATAGAACTCTATCCTGACTAGGATCTTATGTCTAAGAGTGCTCAGGAGTGGGGTGTTGAAGAGCAACAGTAAGAGCTGAGTGAGGATGTATTGATTATTTCCTAGACATCCTCTGATGGTTTGCAACAGCATGTAGCTCAGAGCTGTCCTAAGGCAGATGCAGTCTCTTCTAACAAGACAGAATGTGGAGCTGCAGATACCAAATGGGCACTAAAAGAAAGAGCTGGGAATTTTAAAAGCATCTGCACTAACAACCTAAATTTTGTACAAGCTTTTCACTCTCTCAAATGGAACAATCTTCTGTCAGCATAGTTGCCATGAATCTTTGACCTGTAACAGGTTTTTTTTTAGCTGCTTTTTAAAAACCCTCACAGATAAGGAATTTTTAATTAGTATCTTGGAGGAAATAATGCTGAAATTGCCCCTGTTGTGATGCTGAATGCTACATGCTGTCCAAACCATATTATCTCAAAAGAAAAATAACAATGCCACACACCATAACCTTCAGTCCTTAAATTCTGAAACTTACTTCATACAATCAGAGATTTCATAGTGCTCAATTGCAACCATTTCAAAATATAACTTGCTTGAAACCATTTTTAAGGAGACACTTATAGTGATAATCAATGAGAGAACCCCATAGTGTCAAAATTAAATTACTTTGGCAACTGAAAGCTGAAACACAATTTTGATTCCTAGAGGAATGACATGAGCTGGAAACGTGGGATTAATTCAGTCCTGTTATGCATGTGAAGTCTTCCAACACTTCCCACTGCAGAATCAGCCATTATAGGATTATTATAAATTGCTCTTCCTGAGAGGTGTCTTTTAACATGTTAGCAAATTGGTTTTGTATTTGAGTGTATAGAGTTGTTTTTTCTTCTGGGTTCAGCATTAGTACTTTATGTTGCTTCATACAACCTCATACTTACATTTTAAAGAAGGGACTTAAAATAATGCAAATGTTATTTTGTCTTTCTCTGCTTTCTTCTCACATTTGTTGATATTCCTGCTTCTGATTTGTTATTTTTAATCTCAATTTAAGCGCTTTGCATCTTCATTTTTCCCTTGAAAGAAAAAGAATTTTTAATTGCACACATTTAAGGTGTTCCCCTCATATCAACTCTTTTCCTGAGCTAATTTCTCAACAGATTTGCCAATGGGCATGTGTGCACTAAGAAAGCTTTCCAGGACTAATAAAATAGTTAAGAGCTTTTGCAAGTGTAACTTATTCCACCTCCAGTACACTCCCCCTACTTACCCAAAAGAGAAGAAAACACTGCTGCTGCAAATATGGTTTTCAGCAATGTACTTGCGCCTCCACAGCTGGGTCAGCCAGGGATCAGACTTTCTTAGACTCTTGAGCAGCAGAGCTCTGTGAGGCATAGCTGTGCTCTCTCCTCCTGGCTGTCCACCCTTCTCAGTCTGATGAAGAGACCTTAGTGATATCATGTCTAATATCTCTCCATCACATTATCTGAATTTGTTTTGATTTGTCATTACCTCTGATCATGGCAGCACTTCTTGCCAACTTACCTTTCTGGGTGACTACTGTACATAAGCAGATGACAAGCCTGCTTCTATGCAATATAAAGTTGGACAAGTGTATCCTTCTATATTTGCGACACAAAATAAAGAGACACTAATGGTGGTATTTGCTTCCCTCTCTGTTACAGAACACTTTGCACGCAGGTAAGAATACATTCTTTCGTGCTGAGAAGCATTGCCGGTCCTGGCATGTTGACTGTTCCTTCCTGTGGCCATACAAAACTGCCCAGTGGAACAGCTAACTGCTCTGAGTCTGACAAGTGCCTCTTCATGCACATTTTTTTGTATGCTATAGGCTATTCACTGAGATTCACCTCAAAGGAAGCCAACAAGCTTTGTGTGAATCAGGTTCTAAAGTTAACACATACAATGGGGTTTGCGATCAAGCTCCAGTGTTAGCTTCCAGTTGTCTTAGAACTGGTTTTGCTTTAGGAAATACCAAATGCTAAAGACTAAAAGCAAAAGAAACATTGAAATAAATAGTTCTTTGTCCCTTCCCTAAGGAATTTCTGGAAGAAAATACATCATTCCCATGTGACCAAATCACAGCGGCTTTTTTTTCTTCAGTCTCATTTATTTAGTAGCATACACACTTCAGAGTAACAAACACTCATCCAATACAGTCAATGTCAAGAGTGACCATGGTCAGCATTGCATTGTAGTGTTCAGAACTGATGCATGTGGATGATACAGGCCATTTGATCTCAGTACCTTAAGAATAACAAATAACAACAGCAATAAAAAAATAGCAAAAGCCCTCTGAGATACTTAAGGGTTTGGTCCAACTCCCATTGAAATCTTTCCCTTTAATAGGAACTGGATCCTATTAAGTGAATTTCTCCCCCTGTACAAAATTTAGAGGGATTTAATTGTTACCATTTTGGTTAAATTTCAGCCACATTTACATCCCTGTGGGGCCTCAACACCCAACACCTTCAAACTTATCTGATGTATCTCTTTGTGCATTTCTTTCTATATTGCACCTTCCTCCAAATGATCTCACAGCATCTTGCAGGGAACAGTGAAGGACAGACTCACACCATTCCTGTGAGGTAAGTAGGAACTGTTCCCATCTGTAAAATGGGAAAAAAACTGATGCCTAGTTGTCCATGGCCAAAAAACCAAGTCAATGACAAGTTGAGGGAAAGAAGTCCTACTTTCAGATTCACACAGGAATGCAGCAGCTACAGCAGTAAGCATTGCTGCATCTAACCAGTGAGTTTAAAGACCTTGGTGCCTAAGTCAGAGGTCAGCTGTTCAGCACCCAAGTGCCTCTGGGCCAGCATATCTTACCATGCTGTGGAAACACACACACTCTCAGTGTCTCCAGAGCGAGGCACTATCCCAGCAGATGCACTAATGAACGACATCCTGGACTTGCGTGTGAACAAGTCCCTTGGTTACCCTGCATCAGCTCTTCAATGTTACGTACCTGTGCAAATGCATCATGCTGACTCTCTGGTAAAAGCTTATTGAAGGCAACTTACTCCATAGTGAAAGAAGGCTTCCACACACTAGCGAGTGTACACAGACAGGCCCTCTGGTCCATCTGATGAGAAACAAGGTGTCTAATATACCCTGTGGTAGTTGGCTTAGGAACTCACAGCCTCACCCCCCTAGAACTCCTGTGCTCAGTGGGAAATCCTACCCTTAGCAGTTTACCTAGAAAAGCTGCCTATTTCTCTTCTTTCCCATACCAGCAGCAGATCATTGTGATTTCTTCCTTTCTGATCCCTCAGCAAGGCAAAGAGGACATTTCAAAACTAACTCACTAGAACTACGTATATCATCTAGCATGAGTTTCCAGACCATAGTTTGCTATAGCAGAGATTTTCATTTTTCCCAGACCTTTCCAACAGTCATTCTAAAACTTTGTCTTAAATTCTCAACTGACATCTGAGCACCAACCTCTACCACCTAAATCTCTCCTCTAGAAAATAAGTTACACTGATGCAAAAGATTCACAGGTGTGGTAACAGAAGGAAGAAATTTAACTCTGAAGATTAATTAGGCAAACTACTAAATGAATTATATCTTCACAGTGTTATGTCTAACTTTAATAATTTTTTTATTATGGTAGGACTGCTTGCAATTGAAGTCTCATATAAAAAGGTATGTTATTAAAGTCCTCCCTGTGAGACCCATTTACCTGCTATTCTCCTTAAGCACTGTTATCTGGTGGCTTATCTGTTGGCTTCAGGAAAGGAAAAATACTTTTAAATTGTATGAAATTCACCACAGATTCATTTGTCATTTCATAGCAGTTCAAAAGTTAGGAGGCATCATCTGGAATGACATCTGTGCTGTCAATTAAAAAAAAAACAAAAAAACCAAAAAAACAGTGTAAACCCCCTAAAACACTTAAGTGGAAAATTCATTAACATACCATCATGCATATAAAACTGAGAGACTCTGAGAGGCCACAGAAGTCATCTGAATTTGCAGTGAACTGCAAAAATAATTACCAGTTTCAGACAACTTCTCGTTTAGAATGAAATGTTTCCACATGTCATTACTTCCTACAGAATACCTACTCTAAGCCATCTAACATTTATATGACAATTGAGCTTCAGTTTTTAATACTGCTGTTTTCTTTAGAGCTGACGAAAAAGTAATTAAATCTGACTGATCTTTTAGTACAGTAGTGTGTTATCCAAAGTAACTCCTTTTAGAAATTATTTTAGGCTCTTCAGTTCTAATTACAAAAGTTACACATAGATTTAATTCCAAACCTGAACTCTACAGGGTTTTTTTGCTCATGATACTGATTATTATTGAAGTAGCAGTTTCTCAAAGCATGGAGTCAGCTTCATATATCCAAAAGTTCTCAGAATCTCTCCGGAGCACAGGACACCAGCAAAAGACAGCAATTTCTGATCAATGTGCATTACTAGCTTTAGATGCTGAAAGAGGATTAACCATCGACTAGCAATGCAAGTCTAGTCCACATTTTGAAAACTGCATCATCGCATTATTGATGTTAAAACCTGGAATGTGAGTGAACATGAGACTAATGATAGTATTTACACTGCTAGTATTTAAAGAACTGTTCAAGTGACTAGAGGAAACCAAGGAGAAGGTATGTGAAGCTATTACAAGAAAACACTTCAGTCTTAACCTAAAAACTGTGGATTTTCTGTGGCTGTGCCTGAACCACAGTAAAAGAAGGATGAATCACAGATGGCCCTGCAATTCCAGACAGGGACTAGAGGATGTAATATATTGACATTTCTTCACCCAAACTGCCTGGATTTAACAGCTGATACCTTGGAGGAAGGATACCTGGGAATGATCTCATCATTGTGTAATGCTGTGAATGCAGAAACATTACCATCCTGATTGCTGTGCCTGTTTATACACTTAAGTGGCAGCATTGTATTTGAGAACAGGAACATGGCCAAGAAGTCACATATGTTAGGAGACAGTCAAACCATGATCTTAGAGATCACATTGGTTGCTGATTACTAGTGCGTGCATCTGTGTGCTTGTGTATAGGGGTTTTATCCTTATAAACAAGCCTTGGGAAAAAAAATCTTAATTCCCTGATCTGTGTGTGAAAGATCATTAGTGATTTTCAGAAGTGCAGTTCAGCTGCAAGAGGCCAAACTTGCCAAGCTACTAACATTTCAAACAGCCTACCCAGCTGGAAAGTCAAATGGTTTTGGAGACCATAGGCTGCTATTCTCTCCCTAGAGTACTTGTAATCTCCTGAGAAGCTACATAAAAAGCCAAGGCTGTTCTTGGATAGAAGCAAGGCTAGGGTGGGAAGGAGGAGGAATGGTCAACAGCCGTTAGCCACATCAAGCCACCACAAACTGCTGTCTCCCTTTGCTCCAGGTTCACCCATTTCCACCTTGTTCACTCTGTAACGAACGTAATGCGGCAGAAGTTGTTGGTCCAACCAATAGCGTACACAGGTGCAAGAAGACTTGGAATTAGAGAGGAAAAAACCAATCTGGTTTCAAAACTGAAACCATTTTTTCCCTGAAAAAAGATTTTTTTCTGTCCCAAATCCCCAAGCATTTGCCCTGGTTCACTATAAAGTAATCTGGAGTCCAATTTTGCCAGAAATCACAGTCATTCTGGTTTACCACACAGACCTCTTGACTCATGCTGGTGTGATTCCCAAGTATGGAGATCTTCATTCTCTGAGGACCAGTCTCAAGTTCATCTGGTGCAACAGAGACCAATCTGGAGTTATTGTTTACGTCCATAGAGGGCTGATGCAAAGTAATTTTGATCACTAACTGCTGAGTTCTGGATGTAGCTTCCTCTGCACCTCAGGAGCTTGTAGTTAAAGGTTTCCTTCTAACTGAGTTTCCTTCTACTTCAATAAAGCAGAAAATTACAGAGAAGCCCCACAAGTTTTGTGCCATTCTTAACTCATCTTTCAGTGATGCTTTCCAAGATGCCAATCAAATTGTCCAACCCCAACAAGTACCCATCCTCCCTATTGCCTTCTTGCCAGGGGATTCTGTGATCCAGTGTCTGCCCATCAGGGAGAAGGGTAGTCTTTCCAAAATCAATCAGCCACACATTGGCATTCCCACTGCCATCATGTACAAAAAGTAGTGAACTTCCAACGACCTGGAAGACAGATTGAAATGATGAGGTTAAAAATACATCTTCAGCCCTTCCCCATCACGTAACACTTCCTGATAAGAAGGTGACCTCCTCAGATAGCCTGTCACCCAACAGACTTTTGGGCTGCCCTTATCCATTGTTGACAATTTACATGCCCCACTTGCATAACCATTTCAATCAGTAAGGTATAAAAGGGCATGTAGATGAGAAATGGATACAATAGAATCTCACTTAGCAACAGGTCTCAATTTAAGCAATTCAGAAAGGCCAGTGGCTATTTTCAAACAGACCATGACCCATGATTAATAAAAATACCTCCAGAGATAAGAGGACATCAGTAAGGTAAAATAAAATGCCTAATCTCAGAGCTGTAACAAGCAGAACTTTCAATGCTAATGATGCCTTCTGCACATCAAAGCACACAGGGAGAACATCTAAAGCAGAATTATACAGTATTTCAATGTAAATCCATTAGAACTAACACAGTCCTCATTGTCAAACTACAACAGTGCCATTGTACTAAATGCAAACTTCCACACTGCCATTCCCCTGTAAAGATCCCCACTGGAACACACAAAGATTAGAGAAACCGCAGGAAACCAGTACTAATAAACCACTCTGTGCAGTGGCCCAGAGTTCTAAGTGCTGGGATATTATAAAGATGTGAGGATTTACTATTTCTCAACTAGTTTAATCTTCTGTATCATTGTGATCAAGGTTTTGTGGTATCTGTGTTGTTAACATACATTAGTTTTGTTCCTTTCTACTCATACAGCAGGCTATTCTTAAGTACAACTGAGTGACCAAATGAAGAAGCAATGCACCTCCACAACACTCACTGCTCACCTCATGTCGCTTGAAGAAGTCTGAGGATTCAAGAATGACATTAATTTCCTGCAGACGCTTGAGGTATTTTTTCTAGAGGAAGAAGAGAAAAAAAAAAACAAACAGCCCATAAACATTTAACTGAAGACTGAAAAAAGATACTCTATTTGCAAGAGTCAATATAATGAAGAGACCACATTAATTTTAGGCTAGAGGTCCTTCAAAACAACAGGTTCATAATTTGAAAGTCAATCTGAAAATACACTTCAGCAAGCTTTCATAGCGAATGAACAGACTGCAGTTCCTCTGCTGCATGTGTTACACTAAGCATACTTATCTGCCTTGATTTGGATGCAGTGAGGCTTTCTGCATCTGTTTTTTCCTTCTTAATAAAGAGAAAAATGTTTCAAGCAATTAAAAATCTTTCAGTTCTCTACAGTGAAAAGAGAATGAAATTGTGTCAGAGAGACAAGGAGCTTCAAACCATGGTGGGGGCAGTGGCGAGGATAAAAAGAATCAATGCCTAATGTATAAAGCTCTAGTGCACATTTTTAATGGTGCCCTCTGTTACCGTGCTCCTCCTGGAGGGTTAATCTGCTTCCATAATGGCTTCCACGTTGCAGCAAAACACTATGGTATCCTTTGAAGTTTCAAAGACAAGAGATGTGTTATGCCATCTACCACGTGCCTGCTGTGCTACCCATGAATTGCAGTACAGGAATTGCTCTTTGAGATGAATTTCATACGTGTGAGCACAGCCAGTCACGAATCTCACTTCCTGCCTCTATGCTCTTGTTTTTTCCTCCCCAGACTAAATTCCTAAATCACAGGTTTTCCTGTCAACACAATCCTTGCTTAGATATCATCATTCCTCTGATGCAATTAACACATGTGGTCGAAGCTCACGGGAAGTCAGTCTGAATGACAGTTTGCTACCACAAGGCATTTAGGGTGAACTCATGACACAAGCTGACAGAACTGGTCTCAGTCAACTACTTCTCGCAGCCCACCAAGTTCCCATGTCCACCATGTCCTGAGAGAAACTGAAGTCAAAACCATTTACTTCCTTGGTAGTCTAAGTCCTGTTTCACGTACCAAAAAAAGCTTGGCCCTGAAGCAAGTTCACTGGGCCCACGATCAGCTAACCTGAAGAGTTCAAACTCACCAGAATAGTTGTGTTGCCCTCAATGAATTCCACAAAAACCTGTAGAACTTGCTCCTGTGTCTTCGTAGTTTTGAAGTTTGTGTTACATGTTCCATCTGCCTTCTGCACAAACCCACACAAAGACAGAGATGATTTATACCACATGCATATCATTCCCTTCATCAGTCAATCCTCTTGAACCATCAACAGTTCAGCTCTTGCTAACCAGATGAAAGTGAGTAGCTGAACAGGAAGAGAACAGATAAACCAAGAAAGAAGTAGAGGAGAAGAGACACAAAAGCTGATTGGATAACTTTAAATGTCAGTGGTACTTCATTTCCTGTTGAGTACAAGAAAAAAAAAAGCAAACCTCATGATATTACAAGCTTGCAGGAGGTTTTTATCACATGTCAGTGGTAGCAGTTGCAAAGTTCAGTGGGGCAAACCACAGTGAACTCTTTGGTTGTCCTCTTGTCTTGCTAGATGTACTGAAACCCTGGCTGAGGGTGTAAGGGAACATTTCCACATCCAATTTTATTAGACCTTTTTTTTTTTTTTCTATTTGGTGAGGGTTTTTTGTTGTTGTTTGTGGGGTTTTGTTTTTGTTGGTTTTTCTGTTTTTCAATGGGGAAACCAAAGAATCACGGTTAGGACTCAGTTCCCAATACACCTTTGAACATTAATGTGACCTAGAAGTCACAGAATGGAACAGAAGTTGTAGACAGGAACAACCTGGGATTTGCAATGCTACCAGTGACAAAGGTAAGTGAATTTTGGCAGAGGAATGTTTAGGCATGCTTGTTCCATGTGGGTCTTGGAGAAATTCAGAGTATTTTAGTGCTAGCAGTAAGGTTCAGTACAGAAGTATCCTGCTACTGAAAAAAAGTCTTTTTATGTGCTGGTAGTGACCAGCTTGTGCTTCTGGAACTAAAAGTAAAGAAGAACAGTGCATTAACCAGAAGTATCTGTCAACATAGACTATATGAATATGCATGTCTCCAGCAGTATCCCTGCTGCTTCAAGAGACACAAACAGGAGATTCTAGGACAATCGTGTAAAATACAGCAATTACTACAGTTGGTAATAAAAACCCACTAAAACCCTGAAGGATTATCAATCTGTTTTCCTTTCCACTGTATCAGAAAATCCCTCATTTTCATTATAAGACTAAATCAGCAGGTCTTTAAAATGTGTTCTCTCCTACATATTAAGTCACTGTAACAAAACTGGATAAATTCAGCTCCAGTCTCAGCAGGTGAAACAATATTTATTCCACAGCTGAACTTGGCTTCTAACATATACATGAAAAAATTTCAATAATGCTAAAATTCCAGATCTCTCATGCAAGAGAATGAACTGACTGAATGGCAGAGCCATGCAGAACTGCCTCCCACCTACCAGACTTTCTAGCAGCAGAATAAACAGAATTTTCTTCCAAGGCTGTGGGCCAGATACAAGTGTGGCATGTCAGCCTGACGAGATGTGCAAGTTATGCAAGAGCAGTTCAGCAGGTAGGCAGTGAAAGTTAGGAGCCATCTGATCTGATGTATGAGAATATTCAACAGCACACAGAAATTTGGAACTTCATCCGATGCCTCGTACCTCTTCACTGGAGTAAGGTTGTTTTAAAAATAATTTCTCCCTGTGCCACAAATTCCAGTCTGGAATAGCTGCTCTGTGTTCCCTTTTCATCCTTTTTTTCTCTGAACAGACTAGTTGCTTGCTTCCTTGTGGCTGAGAAACACTGCTATGATTTTGCTCCTTTCCAGTGGTTGGCAGGAAATATAACTGCTGCCTGCCTTTACTTGCTGTAAAACAACATCCAGATTTTGAGTGGTACCATCCCCAGGATTCTAAACCAGGGCTCTGCAACCCTCCGGATGTACCTGATCCCCAGGAGGCACCTGCCTGGCCCACTTCTGGAAGTCATACCTTTGTCAAGGACTCCACATACATTCGTGCACAGCAGAGCAGTCCATCACACAGTGCAGCCCATGGGTCACTTGCAACACTTGTCATTACATGTGCCAGTGACGTGGCTAGCAGGGCAAGTTTCACAGCTCCATGAAGTAGCGTTACCTATCTTAACCCGTGTGGTCTCACTCAAAGTCCTCTACAGACTTCCCTTAAAAGACTCTGGGTTACCTTAATAGATACACAAAGATTTATGAATCATATCTGATATCCTCATGGGATTATGGCTATCCCTCATCTATGGCTAAAGGAATGGTACCAAAGGAAGAAGTAACTTTTCAAAGTGTACTGATACTCAGTGATAGAATGGGAAGCCAGAAATTCCAGTTCTTGGCCCCATGAATCTCTGCTCTGCAAAACTATTAGCTTCATATTGTAGAGAAAATGTTGTGATGCCTAGCCTTCAGACAGGCCCTGCCAGAGAGGAAACATGCATTTAGAATCTGGTAGACACAAGATAGCAAGTGTCAGGTTCCAGCTGTGGGGAAACCAAATGGTTTGAATTACTTAGGAAAAGTGACAAATCCCATAAATGAACCTGACATGATTTCAGAGATACGGAAGCAAGACAAGGAAAAGAGGCTGATCAACCCAAAGAGAAAAGGTACTCCACTGATGAAAGAGTGCATATAGTGAATAGAATCTCATTTATCAGCAGCCACGTCACAGAAGGGCTTATATGATTTCACTTTCTTTGATTCTTCTTCTTACTCAAGCAGCCACAGAACAGGAATATTTCTGAATGACCAAACTCAACGTATCTTCTCAGCTAACTCCAGGAGGTACCAATGTGATCAGGGAGAACATCCCCTTTTTCCCAACAACCACTAGCTGGCACCACTTACTCTTATAGGCTCTCCTCCCAAAATGGGGATCCCTGCAGAATGGCTTTGCTTTTCTGCAAATATACAGAATTGGATATACAGTTCAGCTGCAATGAAACAGTGTAAGGAGTACTGACTAACTGTATTGCTTGAGCAACTCACTTTCTGCCACCATTTCTCCATGTAAATAAAATTAGAGAATGACACCTATATATAACGGCCAGTCTTCGCGAGCGAAGATCCGGGGAAGGTCTTTACACCTTCCAGCCTGCGCATTGGATTTTTTTTAGGTGAGACACAGTGTGCGCGGAACTGAGCCCACCCTTTAATCCTAAGGTTCATCTGCCGGGGCCAAGCGAGCTTGGACGGTGGCAGCGAGGTCCTTAGGACGTAGGTGGGTTGCCTTTAAGGGCTAACGAGCTCCATCTGCCCGGGAGTGGCCCTGACCGGGAATCGAACCCGAGTCTCGGTGGTGATTATTAGAATGACACCTACATTCCTCATAACAGCACAGGGAGAAAGAGGGAAAGGTAATGTAATGAAGTACTCCAAAGCATTTCCTGTGCTTAAACAAGGATTAAGTATTCATGTTTTGCACAGTTAGAGCATTGTCTCCACAGAGGGAAATATTACTCAAGTCTTGTGCCATACTGCTCCTACCCATCTCTGACAACCAACAAAACCACAAAGAACAAGCCATGAGACATTTTGAATCTCCCGTGCTCCCTGAGCTCAGTCACTCTCCAGGATTCAGCATAATTTGTACATGTACACTGACCAACTATCTTTCCAAGACATACCTTAAAGGTCTCAAGATCATCTGGGTTTCTAATTCCATTACACAGAGTATACAAAAACCTAAGTGGTATAGGAATAAAACAGGCATCTTGATAATACCGTTAGTTGGCTAAAGGGCAAGACAAGATCCTGTGTCTTGGCTGGACTGAAGCCAGACCATCTACCACTCAGACAGTTCCTGTATGATGATGCCTGTGTCTAACAGCCAGGAGTGGGTGGCACAGAGTACAGAGGGCCAACACACCATGAGCTGGAAGCCCCAGTTCCTCTATCACAGCAGGAGAACCTGTGAATAAGGAAGGGAGAAGACAACAGAGGGAAGCAGAGAAGAAGGGGGTATTTTAAAAGCCTCTGTCCATCAGCATCACCCTCTTTTATACCTTTCTTATTTCTATGTGCTTGAATTGTGAAATGGAAGCAAAACTAATCTAGGTTACAATTTACAATGTCCTAATTGACCTAAATTAAATGTGTATACTCTGGGAACATCCTGACATCACACAGGGTAACCCACACTAGCTTCTTTACTGCTGTCCTGCCGTGCGTTTCAGGTAACAAGCAGTCACCCAGGGTGCAAGTGGGTTTGGACAGCCCTCCTCGTGCTCTCTGCTGCTACAAGTACACCTCTATCTAAACCCAAGCAAACTAGTTTAAGGCTGGCTGTGACAGGCCTATGCAAGCAGAAAACACATTTCTGGATTCCAGCAAGTGCTAACATTCAAGTAACTGAGTCAGGGTGATATTCTGAGAGAAGGCTTCTGGGTAGGTGTCTGACACTGCCATGGAGCACAACACATGGAGGACAGGGAGGTGATTCGAAACAGCCAGCACAGCTTCATCAAGGGTAAGTCCTGCCTGACCAACCTATTGGCCTTCTATGATGGAGTGACTACATCAGTGGACAAGGGAAGGGTTGCAGATGTCTTTTATCTGGACTTCTGTAAAGCCTTTGACATAGTCCCCCACAACATCTTTCTCTCAAAACTGGAGAGATGGATTTGAGGAGTGGACTGTTAGATGGAAAAGAAAGTGGGTTGGATGGTTGCATCCAGAGGGTAGTGGTCAATGGCTCAAAGTCCCAGTGGACATCAGTGACAACTGATGGTCCTCGGGGGTCCGTATTGTGACCAGTGTCATTTAATATCTTCATTGAGAACACAGACAAAGGGATCGAGTGCACCCTCAGCAAATTTGCAGATGACACTAAGCTGAGTGGTGTGGTTGACACACCTGAAGGACAGGATGCCACCCAGAGGGACCTAGACAAGCTCCAGAAGTGGGCTCATTGGTATCTCATGCGGTTTAAGTGCAAGGTGCTGCACCTGGGTCAGGGCAACCCCTGGTATCAATCCAGGCTGGGGGATGAACAGATGAAGAGCAGTCCTACTGAGAAGGACCTGGGGGTGCTGGTAGGTGAGAGGCTGGATGTGAGCTGGCAACAAATGCGCACTTGTAGCCCAGAAAGCCAATTGTATCCTGGGCTGCATCAAAAGCAGCATGGCCAGCAGATGGAGGGAGGGGATTCTGCCTCTATGCTCTGGTGAGACCCCATCCAGAATACTGCGCCCAGTTCTGGGGTCCCCACCACAGGAAGGACAGAGAACTGTTGGAGCAAGTAAAGAGGAGGGCCACGAAGATAATTAAAGGGATGGAACACCCTCTCCTATGAGGAAAGGCTGAGAGAATTGGGTTTATCCAGCTGTAAAAGAGAAGGCTTTGGGGTGAGCTAATTGTGGTCTTCCAGTACCTAAAGGGAACCTATAAGAAAGATGGAGAGGGACTTATTGCAAGAGCATATAGTGATAGGACAAAGGGGAACGGCTTCAAACTGAGAGTAGGTTTAGATTAGTTATTAGGAAAAAATTCTTCACTGTGAGGTTGGTGAGGCACAGAACAGGCTGCCCAGAGAACTCGTGGATACCCCATCCCTAGAACTGTTTAAGGTCAGGTTGGATGGAGATCTGAGCAACTTTTTCCTGTTCCACAGCATGGGGGTTACATGATCTTAAAGGTCCCTTCCAACCTAGGCCATTCTATGATTCTATGATTCTATTTAGTATGAAGAATTAATTGGTAGGAAACAAAATTGCCAAGCTTCTCTTGTGGCTGTAAGGTAGTATGCTAGGAAAGGTACAGGGGCACAGACTTATCTATCAAGAACAAACAGATAGACTTTGTTGATAGAAAAAATTTATTTTGGATTATTTTGGCTTTATTCCAGCTCCATCTATATTGGATATCGTCATGTACTTAAAAGGAAAAGCAATTTTCTCGATCCCAAGAGTATCTAAGCAAATGCTTTTAACGTGCCTTGCAAATAAACGTAACTGCAACAAAACCACTTTACTGTGATTCACTTGAAATAAATATGTATAATTCTTGGATAAAAAAAGTAATTGCTTGGGGAGAGGCGGTTAATTCCTCTGTTCTGAATTCCTCCTTATAACAGTGTCATTTTCATTCTATCTATACTGTGTACCTCCTTAAGGCCTTCCTGCAAGGTCTCTGTGGTGGATTCAAGTACGCCTGATGTGTACTTGAAGCTTAAATTCATTGAACTGCTCTGTTACAATTACAATGAATGCTTTAAAACTGCACTACAGTGAACTCTATGGTTTCAGTTAGTACATTTTCACATAATCCTTTGGACTAGCACTAGCTTTTTGATTAATCAGCACATCAAGCAAAGTTTGGTCTCCAGGAACAAGTAGAAATGAAACTATTACCTTAATTCCTTCAATCCTGAAACCCAGGTTGGCACTAGAGCTGATGGTTTCCCTCCACTGCATATAGCGGGGTTTGGTGACTGCATGCTGGGCATTCTCTTCAGCCGTGGGAGCAAGAGGATCCACTTCAATCATTTTTTTGTACATGTCCTTACGCAGCTTTGGTTTCTCTCGTGCCTTAGTCAACTCTTCCTCCAGGTACGTTCTACAAAAACATCCCATCCCAACAAAACTGTAAGGACTTCCCAAACATTTCTTTTTACAATTTACAAACTGGTCTCAAAAAATATCGACCAGAAAAGTCTGTGTTATCACTGCTCCAGTTTTGCATATGGGGAAACTAAAGAACACAGAGTAATGACTGTGCAGATGTATTTAGTGAAACAGCCGCAGGAATCAGAAACTGTCATTCACTTCTTGTTCTAACTACACCTTTACTTACTGTTACAAGTTATTGTTATGTTCTGGTTACAGAATAGGAGAAAGATGAATTCCTACTGTGACATGAAACAGAACTGTATTTTTAGAGGACAGCTAGGAGAGATCACTTAAAATCAAAAACAAATAGGGCTTCTGAAGACTTACTGCATTCTCTCTCTTCAAAAAAGCTTTAATATCAGTCATGAGTATTCTTTTAGGCCTCAGAAAGTTTAAGTTTTACTTAATGCATCACAGTGAAAGAATCACTCTTCATATAGTAAAAAACTAAAGAGTAAAGCAGATTATCTGAGTAGTTCCAAATCAGAAGAGGTAACTAAGAACAGGAAGGTGAAGGATCACAAACCTTCCATATTTTGCTCTTATCACTCAATCCGTTAATCTGGTAACCATTAGAAATGCACTGCCCATGTTCTCTACATTTCACTGGATTCCTGAAGCTTAAACTTTGTCAGGTGCCTGGAGTTTACTTGCTTCATCACAGTGTAACAAATCAGGATGGCGTTTAGGAGACGCTGTCACTCACTGCCAGAACATCACCTACTCTGAAGGTGTTGATATGTGCTGCTGCAAATCCTTCTCCTCTTCCTTCTGAACATACCAGTGCTACATATTTCTACTCTGATTTAGCTGACAATTCGTTTAAAATTTTGCATCTATTTGAAAAGGAATACCTGCACTCCTGTAAGTAGAGGAACTCATTTATGACAACAACTCTTGAGCATCTGAGCTGACACCCAAAGGATTACTATGACAGTTCATACCTCTCCACTGTTACTACAGACTCCCAACAGATCCCTATCTATTTGTTATGCTTAGATAATATTATTAAGGTTTTCCTCTTAATCACAGGCAAGGTAACAGCAACACCTTCAGATGTCAGAGTAGGGAAAAACACAGGTCAATCATGAGCAGATGGACAGCTCTTTACAGAAAAGATCAATATAAACAAAGACTCATTCAAGAGCTGGAAATGGACTCTCATGCTGCTATTCAGTCATTTGCATTTGGAGATGGGAATTTTACTCTTTGTGCAGCTTTCTGAAACACTGCATACAGAAAAATTCAGTGAACTGTCAGTGAATAAATCTTGTAGTTTTTTTCCCTTGTATTATCAGGCCACTGCAGAGAAACTTTGTCTTAAATCACCCCTGAAAATTTCTTGATGTGGACAGTTTGTGAGTCTATAGATCAGTTAGTTTCCAGAATCCATGTACAATCAGATAATAATGGGACATACTGCCCTCAAGCTGTCCAAGGCAATTGCCACAACAATAGGTTGTCTGTACTGAATCCTAAGGATCCAAAAATGTTACCACACTCCTCCACACAGAGTATGACAACATCTCTCCCTCCTTCAAATGCACACGGGTTAGAAAGCACTTTCTTTTTTATTTACCCCACCTGATCCCCATCTTGCAGTCCATCACACTCGGCCCTTCAAAATCAGTAAGCAAGTCATCCAGCTGAATGTAGCTCTCGCCATCTCTCTCCACCACACCATGGAAGCAAGGGACACAGGAGCGTAGTGGGTCTTTCATCAATCGTTCAAAACACTCTTTTTCATTCTCTGAGAAGCGTTTCAGAATCTTCCCACTATCAGCTGCCTTAAAACTCCCTAAAAAAAGAAATCAAACAAGTGCTGACAAGATTGACATGCAAAAAAAAAAACCTTCCCCCACCACTCCAGCTTCATCTACCTCAGCCTCATGGCACCAGTTAAAGATTTCCCCCGAATACAAGAGATAACATGCTTTTCATAAAATATAAAATACACAGGACAAACAGCCATTGGCAGTAAAAGTACATTTGGCTACATTCCCATGTTAGAATTTATAGCTTTAAGGAGTGTAGCTGCTCCAGGCCATTGGGCTGGTGTTTGCTTTTTTTCCAAGCTAAAGGTCTTTGCTAGGTTATTAAACAGTACTATACTTACTCAAATGCACAGGAAGAAGCCACAAGCCAGAATTCATTAATCCTCTGATAGGCTATTTTAAAGCTGCATAACCCTGCCAGCACTGGCTTTGTCCTTAATCCTCGCACAGGGTATCTATACCTGCTGAGTGTGCACGTACAGAGGCAGTGCAGTCAATCAGTGATCCTTAAACAGCCAGGAACAGGCCAGAAGCCAAGCACTGCCCTTTCTACACACACAGTGACTGCGCAAGCGTTTACCTGCAGGTACTGCCTCTTCTCTGGAAGCCTGCTAATACCCTGCAGGTACAGTCTGTAGTGAAATTGTCTTTTTTACAGTCCTGTGTCTGAATGGTATCCAGTACAAATGAGTCTGCATAGGCCACGATTAGCAGTAAGTAGACTCCAGATGTGTGGAGATTCCTGACCAAACACCCTCCTGTCTTGTAGCCTGCCAATAACACCTGAGGAAAGTACACATTTCATTCAGAGGTACCCTTTAATCTACGTGAAACAAACTGGGCACCACAGTAGGAGCCTTGCTAATCCTGGGGAAAACACTCAACTTTTATCACAGCAGGATCCTTCAGCCACTGCAAACTAGTTCTTCTCTAACAAATTCTAGAACTGGCAGTGCTTCGGCACAAGGGTAAGAGTGGTGATGGCCCAGGTTTTAGTCAGAAAAAACCTGTCATATCAGAGAAGAACAGCTGCAAAAAGGATGGACTAAACACAACCACAGAAAACTATTAAAAGGAAACCAGAACCATATCTCTCCTAATCAGCTTCTAGTAAACTCTTAACCATCCTCTTCCACCCTACTACACAAGCCTCCACAAGGTTATGATTACATGACTAGTACACCACTCCATGCAGATCAAGCCAACTCCATACACTGTCATAAAATCTGCACTAAGACTGGGTCATCTTGGCACTCTGTGTGATTCAAGTCAGCCTCACCAACAACACTGTGCAAAATGCCGCTAGGCAATTTCTAGAGCTAAATAAATTCCTCAGCACAGCTTTGAAGAGCACCATATTAGTGCATTACCATATAAAGAGGTGGTTCAGGTACTGCATTACAGCATGATGCAGCGTAGGTGTCTGCCCACATGTGTACTAATAACCCCCACTAGCACTGTATAGGAATTAAATGAAGCATGAGAGATGCAAACATGATGACTTCCCTTTGTTGGTTTTTTGCCTTACCAACGAAACAAAGCCTATATCAGGAGCACACTCACCAACTTCTACAGACATGAAACTAAAACCTGCCAACTGAGCTGCTCCTTGCACTCATACAGTGAACAGTGATGGGCTCACAATGCAAACACCTGGTCAGCAAGTCAATTTTTACCACATTTGTTTTTCACCCAAAGACCTACACTAAGATGAGGAGTTTGTGGTTGGTGTTAGAAACACTGTCCTTGCCAGGGCTGAAGCACATACAGACATGAACAGTAATCCTTCCCACTAGATAACTAACTATTGGCTACTCAGTCAAGAAAAATGATCTCATACCACAATGAACGACAACAGATGGATTAGGGCTTTAACTGCCCAGTCCCTCTTGTTTCCCTCTAACCTGTATTTTACACATATCACCTTGTAAGGAGGAATCGGGAGCCTGGCCCTTTCCCAGAGTCTCACCATTGCTTCCTTGCTCATCTCATTATTAAGGTGTATCACTCCCTCTTCCCTATCCTCAACACAACTGAAAGATGTTCTAGTTTACAGATTTATGTGATATTGGCTGCTTCCTTTTTACCTGAAGGAAACAGAGAAACATTGTTTTCCTCGCTGCTGCCATCCTCAGTCCAGAGACAAACACATCGAAGATATGCATCTCACCTGTATGCCCAGCCAGCTGCACCCATGAGTAGCGTTTCTTGAAGGGGCTGATGACTGGTAAGTTAACCATGGTTTTAATCGTATGCCATGCCTTTTTCTGAAAATCAAAGAAAAGAAACATTATGTTGGGCAGAAGCTGAAATCCTGACATGCCACAAATGTATCACATTGCTTCATGCACATTGAATTGTTCCTCACTAATTTGTAAGTGCTCAGAGGTGGAACCGCAAAGCAAACACTATGAGCACTGTTGGAAAAATATGCACACAAACCCAAGAATGGACAAATAAAGATAACGCCCTGCCATGCACAAGAAAGCTACTTGTAAGAAATAAAAAAAAAAGTCATACTGCACGTCACAGGCCTGTTCTTAGCCACACCTCACTCTCTCCATGTCTGAGTCACACAGTATGCGGACAGCAGATGTTGAACAAACACACACACACACACGCACATATACGCACATTTAAGTTTCCATGAGACATGCACATAAGCTGCTTGCCGCTGTCAGCAACACTTCCTTTCCCAGAGAACTTCAGCATCACCTCACAATAAACGGCTTTCTCCAAGTCAGCAGGTAAGTCTTACTGTGACAGACACATAGAAAACCTATCTCTAGTTGGACGCGGAACTCACCCAGGTCCCTCAGCACACACTGACCCTGTGCTGCAGAATCTCCTCTAGGTCACAAATTTTCCTGCTCCCTCCCCTCTTTCCCAATCTTGTTACTTTTTAACAAAGCTGGGCATTGCTCTGGCAACCTTTGGTGTACATGGTGCAGCTGTTTGGGTACTGCTGCAGGCAGAGAGGGAAACAGAACAGCTGCTCACAAAGAGCAGCTGAGTGCTCTGTGACAAAAGCAGAAAGGAAAAAAAAAAAAGTAGAAAGTGAAAAAGTCTCATGCTGTGGAACTCAAATGCAGGTGGGAGAGAACCACAGCCCACCAGCATTCATGTTACACTCTGAGGAATCCCGACGTGCTTTACGGACAAGGGGAGCAGCCTTATTCACCAGAACACGATACTCTGCTGGAGAAGAGAAACAGAGCTGCACGATACTCTTGTGTGACAATTTAGCGCTAAGGGGTTTTTGCTGAGATCAAGTATAGTTGGGGATTAGGCTGCATTTACAGAAGTGCTTATCAATGGCCTAGCTGGAATTCACCAAAATCAATGGGAGGCATTGATGTCACTGAAAATAAGTTTAGGTACTAGCTCATCACCTGAAAAATCCCCATTCAAAACAACCATGTCTATTCATGCAATATGAACACTGATCTGACTATTTAGGTGCTTGGGATACCTAATTTTTATTGTCTTCTACACTGTACTCCTGTAGAAGTGAAAAACAGGAAAAGTGACATTGCAGGCAATGATACACAGGCAAAATGTTGCTCTGCAGGTCCCACTCTGACCTGGCTACACTTCCCCAAACTTGTTCGCTTTAAACAACATTTTTTAAAAAGTATCCTCTAGCAACAGTGGTCACCATGTGAGGACAAAACCATGCAGCTATCTTAGAATGTATTAAAATGATATGTCAACTCACAGACACAAGCAAACTTTCTTTTAAGGATTTGTCTTCCCAAGGAATTTTCATGTTAACCTTTGAGTTAAACTGACATACCAATATAATCACCATATGAGCATACTTACTCTGAAATAACATTGCTTCTCCCTATTTAACTTACTTTGGTTTCAAACAGAGTTCAAGCTAAAATGAAGTCACTCTTGGTCAGATATGAGCCCCATGCATCAGTAATACTTTTGAAAACACACGATGCCAATGAGAGAAAGCAGAGAAAATCCTGGATGTTTGAGAATTATGGAGACTCAGTTGTACTTAATAGAACTTCACAGCTGTTACTAGCTCTAGCTAAACTCCAATTTCATAAATAACTTCTGCAGGTTTAAATGACCCTTTCATATGCTATATTATTTGGATTTCATATTTCAGATTATTTGCCTTAAGCTGTTCCAAACTGCAGCCTTATGGTGCTAAACAGCAACTTGCCTCTATGGCAGAGCTAGCTGCTGTTTAGTGAGGATGAGAGACTCTTGTACACCACTTAAACATGTCCATAGACTTCTGGAAGAAAGTGCAATGTAAATATTGTTATTCAAGCAGCAAAGATATATTATTTTTGTATAGTTTATTTGCCAGATTTAAGTGACAGCAAAAGTCCTTTAGTCTACTTTGCTGTTTCTACCACAGAAGGACACAGCTCCCACTTATTTAAAGAATAATTGAAAGTAAACATCACTCTGAAGTAAAATGACCCCTTTGAATGTAACTCCTGCTAAAGATTTAGTTTTTGAAGATCCTATACCAATTTTCAGGGTAACATTGCTTTTTCCCCATCCCTTAATCAGAAGTCAGCTCTGCTCCACAATCCTTCCATAAAGATCAAAATATATTCATCATAATGTTCCACTTTTAACAAACTGCATCCTCTTTCCCAATGACTTGTCATACTACTATATCCAGCAGTAATGAGAAACACAGGTTTTCAAGGAATGCACATCAACTAACTGTCAATGCAACATCCACACTCCAGTGGCTCTCCCACCTCCTCCCTCCCACCAAATTCTAAGAGGCTGAAGCTTTTATTTATACTATGGGTGTGAAAGAGAGACAATGGGCCAAATTCAGCCCCAGCTCAAGTGGACTTTGGCTGCTTAGGCTACAGGTGCCTTGGATGAGTATGTTTAAGTTACTCATCCAATAAATAGACACTGACAATTTTTGTTTACTTTTTTAAACATTTTAAATAATTTCTTCACAAAACCTTTTTCCCCCCTCAAGACAGGGAAAGCATAAAGCTCAAGCTAGGAGAAAAAGGACTGCTTTCAGACCCAAGCTGTGGAGCATGCTGCCATCAGCAGGGGTTCAGCAGTTGCATATTCCTCTGCTGCGACTTCCCTTCTCCCAGCTAACTCAACCAGGATACAAATTGCCAGGATGCAAGCAGAGCTGCATACTGTTGAAGCAGTGGTATGAGTGGGAAGATGAAAACTTTGTGACTGCTGTAGGAGGAATCTTTCTCACTTCTATTTCTAAAGCAAGATTTCTTCTTCTTCTTTGTTAGCAATGGTATTATGTGCTTGTCAAATCACTGTTTTATGCTGCAATGGCAAAGAGGGCTTCTACCACTGTCCATTGGTATTTGCAATCTTTATCTCTCTCAGTACCTGTTTCTTCTAGATTCCTGCTCAGTCTTCCATGATCTTTTGCTCTGCCTGGGTTTCTCCAGGACCTCATTTTTTCTAGATTCCCAACGAAAACTCAGATATCCCTGTATTGTATCTGCATTCATGACTGCCTGAATCAGATGCTCTTGACATCACTGATGCTGTTTTATATGCCTCTTGAGATCAATATACTCAAGAGTTTTCCAATAGTAAAAAAGAAAGCATTCCAAAAGAGTCAAGAGGCAAATATGAAAAGTATTAACCTTCTTAGATTCAGCATATAAATTACTCGAATGTGAATTATAACTGACACACCATATAAACCTCCTTAAGCAATAAAAGGTGTGGAACACTAAAGAGGGGAAAACCTAGTTTCCTGCCAACAGCTCAGCCCATGTGACAGGCTGACATGGTAAATGCATCCCTGGCAGCAAATGGACAAAAATTCAGGGAAGAGAATGGGAGAACCGATTCAAACAATGCTGACACAATGCACGAAAAGGACTGTGGTTTGGTATCTGACATTGATCTGTTATCTGAATTACTCTTTTGAATCACTTCTCTGAATTTGAAGCACAGATTTGAAGTATACATCCGTGCACACTTGCACATGTGGCACACTTGCATTATGTTAGCATGCCATATCCAGGCAAGATGCCAGATGAAGTATTCCCAGCCTACTCAGCCCTGGGTAATGGTGGCTGCTGCCATCATGTCTAACCATTAAGAAAGAGCAAAGAGCAGCAGCAACTGAGCGCTACTGGTTTCTGTGAGAAGCTTTCTCCAGGCCTTTCCTCATGATGAGCGCACAACTTTATATGTTACTAGTATGGAACAGAACAGCCATGACCACAGAATATGCCGAGTTGGAAAGGACCCTGCACAAATACACCAGTAGGACTTGCCTAATCAAAAACCACTAAAATTACTAGGAGGTGTTTAATCCATTTCAAGAGGTTTTGACTCCAGACCTCACTGTCCCCAAGAATTAATCTCCAGAGACTACCAGGCTCTCCTGAAACCCTCCCACAACTTCAGGACAAGGGCTATAACATCCTAATAGCCAACCTCACTGAAGAGATTAGTGCAAACTCCCTGAATTGGGTGGAGTTTTTTTGGTTGCTTTTGTTGTTTTACAGGCAGTATAGAACAACCAGCATCTCTTTGAGCATATGATGAATCCCTTCAGGGACAGGAGAGCCACTCTAAAGGCAACAGGGGATAGGGACCTGAACCTTCCCCTGCTGTTCTGTGGAAAAATAAAATATCTCCCTTATTTAAGGGTAAAATGAAAAGAAAACAAATATCTCAGTTCTGTGAATGCCTTAAACACACGTAACTACCCTCAGGCAAGCTTTGACAAGTAGGTAACATACACAAGATTTTGTTTCACTTACTACTTTTCAGCAATTACAATAATTAAAAACATCAATCATGTGTAAATTAGTAAGTGAGGGGGTATAAGAAAAATCTTTTTTTCAGAAAAAGAAAGTAATTCAGCTTTAATAGTTCTAGCACACTACTTGAAACTATAGTGAGCTAAAGAACAAAAGAACATCAAAATTAACATGAATCAACAGGGTCTTTAAAAGAGTTCATGATTCCACCAGCAGCAGTGGAGGACTAGTTTCTTGCCTGAGCTCGTAAATCTTCATGGAAATTCTACTAGACTACAGTAAACAATGACCCTTGAATCTTTTTTTTCCAGGAAGATTTCAACAGTTTCTTTATCTGAGACCCTGTTGTCTTTTTTTGTGCACTAGCACAAAGCCTACACAAGCCTACAGAGAGCTATTATGACAGCAAGAAACAAAAGGAAAATGAGAAGGTTTTTTGTAATTTTTTTTTCCTAAAAGGCTTTAAGAAAGAGTACTTAATTGTCAGTCATCATTATCTACTGTTCTCT